GCAGCCGTCTGACGGAAGGCATTCGGCCGCACCTTCGACACCTGATACACAACGAGCCACTCCACTTCTTGCTGAAAGCCTTTCTTGGAATGTAGGGCCCTTCCCTTGCCTACTGAGCTACTGTTATTACTACTAGCGCTGGGGTTTAGTCACCCGGGTGTGCAGAAAGTCACCCGGCCGCGAAACGCAGCATTCGTCAAAAGTCACCCGGCTCGCGAAAAGTCACCCGTTTTATGTTAAAACACAATGTAAACGCTCTACGGAAGTATGTTTGTCAAAACTGCTATACATCAAGAATTCACTGCCCCTGTGCAGGAAAGAACTAGTTTTATGTCGAAGTTTGCAGCGTTTTGGTGACCGAACCCCAATCAGAACGCAAGGTTAGGACTATCGTGAAGATTACCCCCTAAACATAGATGCAGCATGCTGCCCTGCTTGCTTTGCTCTTCAAGAGCTGTGCATTGATGACCTTCATGTGGAAAAGATCACTAAAGGAAACATGGTGAGGCTGGCGCGAGTGCCACGCGAGTCTTTTCGACCCTGTCGCGAGTGCCGCGCGAGTCCCATGCACCCATGTACCCACGCCCCATGTACTCACGCCCCATGTACCCAAACAATGGTGTTGAACTGACGCTCCAAAGCTTATCTTCCAATGAGGGTGACATCTTGCATCTAACCCCAATGGAAACGCAGCATCCAAACAATGTTGTTGACCTAATGCTCTTCCAGTTATATTGCCATCTTGCATCTAACCCCAATGGAAACGCAACATCCAGACGACTTTCTACAAGACCAGACGACTTAACACAAGTGCTTGTATAGCAACTTATATATATATATATATTTGCACTGTACACTTAGAATCTTTTTAGTCTTGGACATCTTTGGCCTTCAGCTTGCAAGCCCACATGACTCTTTTCACATCCCCAAACTACTTCTGTTATCTTCTGCTCACCAACAGCCCTTGCCGGGATGGTGATTGCCGATGCATGTGACACCGGACATCGTCAAACACCTAGCCTTCGATGTCTTTACACCACCCGCAATCCAAAGGGTCTGCCGATGTCTCCCGATGTCTCTAGCGCTTCATGATACTCTCACCGTGGTCATGGCGTCAGCCTGGCAAGACACTAAAACTTCTGAAATGGTCTACCGGCGGACTGGAACACGCGCGCGAGAGACCGAACAAAAGCGGGCTGAAAGGGGCGATCATCATGGGTGGAGACTTCCGACACCAAAAACCTCAAGTCCCGCTGCCCCGCTACCTCCCGTCGGCACCTTCGTGGGCGCCGGCCCTGACGGCTGTCGCGGGGTGGTCCTCGGAGCGGTCGCCGTAAGTGTGATTCACCAAAACACTAGGCTGTCCAGCTCGGTCTTGCGCGGGTTTAACCTAACATGTGACCTATACTAATCGATGTATTAAGAACACCCTTCTAAAGAAGGGTCTAAGAGGATGGACCCAGCTCTCATGAGGTTTGTCGTGTTCCAAGAAGAACTCCGGGTAGGATGGATGGAGGGATGGACGGACGGCGCATCGTCCCAACGCCAAGGTCCGACGCGCCTCGTCCCATCGTCCCATCGTCCGTCACCATCGGTCGGTTCAAAGCTTCCACCAATTGGGTGCTTGGGAACCCTCCCTTGCAGAATGGAAACCTTCCAATTTCTGTTGGTTGCCCTGTCTCGAAGGATTTTTGTACACACTGAGAATTATGGTCGTCCCACGTGTGTGTTTTTTAAGATCATTCTTCTAAACCTTCAAAGATCGGAATCTGCCTATTTCGTGTGCCTCAAACACAACACCACCTCCTCACCCGATCTGCGCAGGCGGGCAGCAGCGTGAGCCCGATCTCCCGGGGCGTCAGCGCGGCGCTCCCAGCGGTCCGCAACGTGGCATCCTGGGCAGACTCCGCTGAACACAACACCAGCCCCACGCAAAGCATGGATAGAGTGTATAGAGCGTTCACTCCAACACGACCAACGCGGGCGACTTCACCCATCTTCACCCGCATGTTTTGTCGTCCGCTGGACGGTCGAAATATGTTTTACATAGTTGACAGTAGTTGACTATGAGCCTGAACTTCAGGTTATCCGTTCCAAACATTGTTTGACATTGTTTGTCTTTCGTCTGAATGACAAACACGATGTTGATGTTCATTGATCGACCGTCTGGGTGACAACGACCCGAAGAACGCATATGCACAATGGCAAGGTCGTTCCAGGCAATGCCATTGTTTTTTCATGGAGTAGACGGCAATAGACAATCAGGTGGAGGCCTTTTTCAGTGACTGCAAAAACTTCCAGACTGGAAGGACGCTACCAGGGGCTCTACTAGGAGCAAGGACGCTACCAGGGGCTCCTGGCCTTACTACTGGTTTATGAAGTGCGTAGAACAACACCAGTGAGATTGGAATTTAGCACGGCCGACATCATAAACTCTCCCGCAGGTGTTTTGATTGCTCATCATTGTAGAAACCTTACTTTTGAATTTGGGGATCATCTACATTGTTATAGAATTATTGCTGTTTATATGTGTATACATGTGTATACTAGTCATGGGCCTGATGCACGTCGATGGCCTTCAAACTTGATCATTTTGTCCCACCCAGCCATGTGTCGTTGGAGACTCCAGTCCTTCCACTTCGACATACCAACATGGCAGGACGACCCCGAGTGGCACGTTGGCATCCAAGGAGCGGTCATTTCTTTCAACTTCTCACCAATGGCATAGACAAACGATTTCCAGTCCAAGCACTTGCAGCGATCGATGCTCCTCCTCGCGGAAAATCGAGGGTCCTGGCTTGAAAACACGAAACAACGGTCTTTCACAACGCAATATGTTCGACATGGACACTGGTGGAAGCCACTCTTCCGTGAATTTATGCCCTTCAAACACATATTTTTTGCACTTGTGGTCTGTAGTGTCCCTGTGCAGCAGTTTCCTCGCAAAATGGTCATGTGACGTTATACATCACAAAAACATATAAAACCACTTTCTGTTTGATGAAACTTGATCTGTCTTCAACAGTGGACATGCTTCTCTTGAGATGCGCCCCAAACCCCCCTGCTTTGAGCCGCCAGTTCCCACACCCTCTGGACTTGGAGGATTGGATCTCCCATGACCGACCACTGGCCGAACTAGGCTTCGAAAAAATGGTGTCCTGAACGATAGCGCTATCGGAAGGCGACCTTGGAATGGGTACAAATATAATATGGATTCAGAGTACATTTTAGAGTCATATGAGTCATGCCGTGCCCCATTTTCTCTTTAGGAACTGGGGTCCAGGTATGTCCAGGTGTCTTCACAAAACACAGCAGCCCCTGGGCTCCTCACTCTCCAAGTGTCAAAAACAAACAGCTTCGAGCCACGAACAAGGCTGCAGAAGGGCCCCACGCACCACGGAACGGGCATTGAGACCGGCCCCTTGCACAAAGCTCTCCCAATCATACGCCCAACATGAACGCCGAACATGGGCGTCAAACGAACGTGGTGACGTGGTGGTGTAGAAGATTCAACACCAGCACCCCGGAAGGGGGTTGTTATTGGATGGAAATATATATATATATACATAGGAAGAGGGGTGTCCATTTCAACCCGAACAAACCGTGGTGGCAAATGAAACGACATGACATCTAGAGACATGACAAATCGGCCGCACAAAAATGGAGATGACAAGCAGTCTTCGGGGTATATGGAGGGTCAAACTCACCGAGATGGTCGATGTCCGTCCGAGAATGAAAAACTCTTGAGAAGTCTGTCTTCCAAACCAAGGGTCCCAGTGGATCCCCAGTTGCCATTAGCGCGAAGGAACCAGGGTTTATATATATATAGGTCTATGGTTTCAGTCTTTAGAACCATTGGTTACCAGCTAAGGCTCTCTAGTGGTAACTGGATGCCCTGAGAAAGGGCATCACCAGGCAACCAGGGCATCTGGGTTCATTCTACGGTTGTAGGAGGCCTCAAGCCGTTTATGGACTTCCCTCAAACATGGATATCCTCATTGTATCTTATTGTCTTCACCCTTAACATCCCTTAACCAACACATGCTTTAGATGATTTTAGATGATATATTTCCCCAGTAGAACAGGTACAAACGTGCAACTGACTCAATCAATGGCTAGTCAGCTAGTGTCCCCAATTTCAATGAACATGAACACGTTTGAACACAATAACACATCGAGGGCACATCAAATCCCTTCAACATCCTCAACGCCGGGTCGTTCCACAATCCATGCAACAGGCGTTCATCATGGATCATCACATGTGTCCACATGCCAAAAATAAACCGCAAAGCCGTCAACAAGCTCTTCTGCTCTGATCTCATTTCTTCTGCTCTTCTGCTCTGATCTCACGGGGCTTTACGTCGTCCGCCAGCGACACGTGGACGGCCGAGGTCCCGCCGCGCGGACCGCTGGTTTGGGTGAAGCCGAAGCGCGGACCGCACCAAGAACCAACTGGCGTCCAAAGCAAGCAGCACAGGCCCGGAATTTCAAACAGCCGAAGACCGAGTTCCGAGTGAAAACCCGGATTTGGACCGAGAGCTGAGCCCCAGCCCCGGGCCATTTGCGGGGGGCTGGTAAGTACTGGTAGGTCTCCCGCTCTTTGGCAGGGCGAGGAACCTGCTGCGCAACTGCGGTGTTTTGCGGGATCCAAAATTTGTCTCATGCTTCCGGTCGAAAACGGAAGATGCTCGTACCAAACAAGAACCATACCAGCCAGAAAAATACAGGAGCCGGAGCCAAACAGATTCGTGTGGTGTCTTGGCTTGGCTTTGACATGCATCAACCATCCACCCTGGCAACGACGGACCACGCCGGACTTGGATCTACGTCTGCTTCGGAGAGGTGCAATTCAGCAATGACTGCTGTTGGAACCTTTGATGCTTCGAATTTGGGAAGTTCCAAAGACTGAGGCGATGAAAAACACATGAGCTGAATATCCCCAGCACCAGTTGCCAGGAGGTATCCAAATGTTTAGGAACAAGTTGTCATTGTATGTCATTGTTGGGAGTGCTTACCACATGTTTGCCTTGATGCTTCCTCCCCCGGCCACCGGTTCAACTGCTCGCACGTCGCACGGCGGCGACTCAGACTCGACTCGGACGAGCCGCTCGCGGACCGGAGGAGCTCAGGTGTCCGATGCGCGCTCGTTCGGAGTCTCCTGATGTGGTTCGGTTTGGCCTCTGGGCGCCCCGGTCAGACCCGTTTGGCTGATTTTTTTCATGCTTCACAGCTGTATAGTGCTGTGATGTGCTGTGTATGGTCTAGGCATGTCTAGCCTGAAATGGTGACGGGTTCGATTCGATGAGGCACCTCAAAGGCGATTCACATGGACTGTAGCCTGCTCCACATACTGGTCTTCCATGGTTTTCAGGTTCCATGTGAATCTTCTTTAAACGTGTACCTCTCAAGGATCAATCTCAACCTTCTCAACTTGAACAAACATCCCTGCCCGTTCATGAAACGGAACCTCGTTCGCGTCAGCCGCGCTTCGCCGTTCGCGTCACGAATCAAAGGTGTCTCAATGGAGGGGCCGAAAAAATGGGAGTGAGTGACCCATTACATACAACATTGGTGATTTAGATAGGGAGACCTTCAACATCCTGAACACCAATGGGTAGACTGAGTCATGCTGGTCTATGTTCTTTCCTAGGCCTTTGGGAGATCTTCCTAATTCAGCAATTACACACCCAATTGACACTTTTCATGTCTTAGGTTTCAGAATGGGATGTTTGCTGGTGATTGTTGGTTGGGCCCAACGCTTGAAGCGTCGACCTGTCACTTGTCCTCACACGCAAACGCAAACCAGCCTCAGCCTCAACCAAAAAATAAACCTGTGTGCACCAAAAGACCTTGTCGTAAACTATACCAGGACCACCCAACAGGTATTCAGTAGACAACCCATGACAACCCTACACTTCTGAGAGATCTCCATTGGACACCCACCGCACACCCCTATTGGATGGACTCCAGTTCTTCCTACCTAATAGCTTCTAGCTACTAGTAGCTTCTTGTTACTTCTATAGTTACTAGTAATGGCCACCACCTCAGTAGCGATGGCCTCCAACCTAATGCTTTTTGTTGAGTCGATTTCTCTCTCCTGCAAAGTCCATCTTCATGTCCAACAACTTCCAGTGGTGCGACATCCTCCTTTCCGAACCTGGAGGACATGGAGCCAGACCGGGCATCGGAGGTGACCACAAAGGAGGGAGCAAAACCCCACAGTTCGCAGCAAACACAGAAGGGAAAGGAAAAGGGACCCTACTCTGAGGTGGTGGTAACAACTTGCGAAAAAGCAGCTTATAGTATACAGTAACATATTTTCCCCCAAGAAACAGGGTGGGCCTGCCATTTTGTAAAAGTGGTTCCTGTCGATTCCCGAGGCTACACAAAAGGAACAAGGGAACCAAACCAATGACGGAACAACAATCAAGTGTGACAGGACATCTTCCAAGAAGCTCTGTCTTCTTTGGTTCTTGACTATGGACATGCCAGCTCCTGATGCTTCATGGTGATGATTGTGGCATTCAGCCGATGTTTAGAGTCCAAAGCCACCGTCATCGACTTTGGCTTCGGGGGATCTTCTCAGTAACCCAAGTCTTGTGGCCGCACTTGGGCGCATCACAATGCCGGGGACGCGTCCAACCAGAAAAAGTAGCAAGCACTGGTCAATCCCAAAGGATTGACAAGAAAGATCAATAAAGACATCTAGCTTTGGATCCATATTATGTACAGTAGATCCCACCAGTGACTCACACTTTCTTTTCGGGTGAAAGTTCCAGGTCGTCACGGCGCGGCCAACACCTGCAACTTGTTTTTTCCTTCACAGCCAGCGGCGAGCGGCCTGGCCGAGGGAAGGGGAGGGCAGGCATGGCTTTGGGGGAAGGACGGATTTTCGGTTGAAAAGAATGCATCCATACCGGAAATCCGTACATGATGGATGGACATAAGGAATCGTTTCCAGAATGCCTCCAGTCGAGGGGTGGGGGATGAACGAAACGAACCTCCAAGGACCCGCTGTGATTTCAGGTCTGCAGCAAAGCAGTGGGATGGAATGGGACATGCATGGTATGTGGGTCAACATTCCTAGAAAACCTTACAACTTCAGAAACCGACCAAGCCAACCAAGGAACACACATGAACAAACACAAACGCACCCATCCATCAGTCTCCACATTCCAAAAGAGATCACAGCTTTCCTGGTATTCAGTACCATGCAATTTTTGAGCCAAACGCGTTGTATTGAAAGAGATTGTTGACACGAGACAGAAGAAAATCAAGCAAATGCAGGTGATTGCGTTCCATTTCGCAACTCTACTCTTGGTGGGATGGCTCCATTTGGTTCATCTGTTGGCCGACTCTGTGGCAGTCTGGATGGTACTTATTATATTTGTACTATGTAATATATATATATATATCGTATATATATAGTTATTTATGATAAATAAATATATATATATATATATCCGCCGACCCCAGCGGATGGTGGGGGAGCCCCAGAGAACACTGCAGTACAGAGCGCCAGAGAACACTGCAGTGCTGAGCAGCTACCTCGTAAATACCGTGGTTTTGAGCACTCGATAGCTCAAAGCCATCGGTAGTTACGTGGTTTCCTGGTGTAAAACCACAAAAAACTACGCAAATAGTGTGGTTTTGGGGCACTTTTGAAGCCTCTAGCAGCAAAAAAACATTGATATTTACAGTGTTTTCTATCCTTTGTCATTAAAAAGGGCCTCTGCAAGCGGGTAGCGCGCCTTTTCCAGCCTAAAAGGGGCTATGTTCGTGAACAAGTTCAAGCTGTACATGATGCATATAAAGCCTTGCACCCCACTTGAAAAGGCGGGTGTCTTTCAGCGGCTTTTCACAAGCTTTCTGCCGCCCACGGGATACTGGGCATTCCCAGTCCAAGGCAGCACTTACAGCTCCGTAGCTGCAAGTAGGGTCGACTGCGTTGCTGCAGTCGTGGACATGTTGAGTCCAAATGAAACACATCCCTGCCTTCCAGGATGTAAACTTCCGAAAAGCGTCCAGTGTTCCTCTCGCACTGGATGGCCACATCTTTGCTCTCGGGCCGCGCCGGCTTGAAGCTCAAGCCCCCACTCAAGGCAAGGTGCCTTCCCACCATGCGGAAGCATCACCACAAAGCCGTGCCCTGCATGACCAGCAAAATGCCAAAGGCCACTGCAAGGTCCGTGAAGATCCAATCAAATCCCCACTTTGATGCTTCTGTATTGGGCTCCTCAGTCCTCACTCCCTCAGCGCTCTGCAAGAGAGTCAGCATGGCCATGACAAGGGCCTGCTTGCTGAACCCGCTGAGGGCAATGGCATTGATGCTCTCAACATGCTTCTTGCTCTCCTGCTCATAGGCTGTCTCCTCCTTCAGCCCGATGCCCAGCTTCAACCTCAGCTCATTGAACCTCTTCACTGCCAAAGCCTTGGTGCCGAAGTCTGCTGTGTTGTCTTGGCTTGGCACAGCATGCAAGCTAAACAGCTTTCGGTGCAAAGCATCTTGCACCCACAATGACTTCACTTCGAGGTGTCGGATCCTCCCAACTCCCTGGCGCTGGAACACGCCACGGGCTGCGCTGCTGTCAAGGTAGACCTCCATCTGGAGCGGGAAGCCGATGAAGGCAAACACTTCCTTCATGAACAATCCCTCACTGCAGGCAGCCACGCCACCATTGAACTCAGCTTCACCAGACGACAGGCAAAGCATCTGGAGGCTCCTGGCATAGCTGAACAGCAAACAGCCTCCAACCTCAAACATTGCACAGGCACAGCTCTTCCGGGTCTTCTTGCAGTTTGCCCAATCAGTGTCTGAATGCACCTTCAGAATCTCGACTTCACCCTCCTTGGGCAGCCACACGCCATAGTCCTTTGTGCCCTGCAGGTAGCGTGCCAAACGATGCAGCTTGTGAAGGCTTCCATCTGTAGGCTCCTTCATGTCCTTGGTCAGCTCGCGAACTGCGAACTGCACATCTGTCCTGTCGTAGGAGAGGTACAGAGCAATGCCAACCCCTGCTCTGTAGATCCTCAAGCTCTCCCCACTCAACTTGTTGCCCTCCTTGACCTCCGAGCACAGGTATGGTGTTGGAGCCGGATTGCACTCTTCCAAACCCAACATCTTCAACAAGTCGCTGATGTACTTCCCACGGGGTGTCAGGAAGATGCCGCCATCCATGACCTCACGAGTCCTCTTGAGGTGCGTCCACTTTTCTCCCACGCTGTTCTCATGGATCTGACTCTTCATCTTGATCTTCTCATGGAGCTTCTTCTCCAGCTCCAGCAAAGCTGCTCTAGGTCCGGTGGCATAGAAGTCGTCCATATGCACTTCCATCAACACGCCACTGGCCGGATTGTAGAACATCCAAGGCGCTGCCGGGTTCCTCTTGAAGTCAATCTCCTTGAGACGCCCAGCTGCCCATTCCACAAAGGCCTGGCCAGCAATGCGTCTGCCATACCACTCAGTATTGAGCTTCCAAACCACGCGATCAGGTAGATCGACTCCGCTGTCAGCCATCTTCTTCAACCACTCCTTAGGAGGCTTCATGTAGGCTTCCTCTGCAATTGGCACCTGCCAGAATGCATTCTCTGCATCAGCTGTCAAGAAGCTGTAGCCCATCTTGATGCCCACAATGTCAATGACCCTTGACGTTGAGGTACTGGATGCCACCGCAAACACGTCAGTGCGCGGGTCTCCCCGCTTGAACTCTCTCACACAGTACCTGCACCTCACCGAGCCATCTGGCTTCCGGGTTCTGACCCAGACAGCATCCAGGATCTTCATGCCATCCTTCTGCTCCACAGGGTCATAGGTCTGGTACTTGTCCATCTTGCGGAATTCCTCTGCATCACCTTCATCCATTTCTTGCCTGCTCAAAGGCTTGCTCTCCTCATTCTCTGAGTCCTCATAGGCCTGGTCCACGTCATCCTCGCACACAATGGTGTCTTCTGTTGGCGAATACAATGCACCCACAAAGATTCCAGCCACGCGAGCTCTCTTGGCCTCCGGAGTCATTTCACCAGACTCTCCTGCCCATGCCCGTCTTGCAGACATGCCCAAATCCATAGGTGCTGCCTCATCACCGCCCACACCAGCCGTAGGTCTTGATGCCGACGAAGGACCTGATTGCACAGGAAAGTCTCCCTCGTCCTCCTCTTGGATGACCTCCCCACTCGGCTCTAGCCTGGGGCTCTTCTTGGCCGTCTCTTCAGTCGGGATCAGGTTTGGTGTCTGAGGCAAGGCGATCTCGGCCTTCCTCTTTGGCCTGCCAATGGTTGTGCCCATGTCCCACGGCACACCGATCATTTTCTCCATCAGCTCTCTGTTGTAGCGCCTGCTGCTGTCAGCTAGTCTGCGCACACTCCTGGCCGTCACTGTCCCATCTTCTGTTCCCAGCAGATACTCATTACTGGTCACACTTCTCCCAAGGAAGATGCCCTGACGCCATGCCGTCTCCCCTTTGGGCACCACTGCCCTGTTGTGGGATCTTCTGGCCTTACTCATAGGGATCTTGAAGAGCACAGTCTCACCAAAGGGCACCAACTGCGAGGTGTATGCCGTGTCGAAGGCATCTTGGTATGCTGTCCTTTGGTTGCCCTTGATGCTGAACCTGCTTCGGATGAATGAACACCACCTCACCAGCCATGGCCACAGGTTGTGTGAGGTGTGGAGCGTGATGCCATAGCTAGCCTCTGTCTGGTACCTGAGGGTCAAGACATCACCACGGAGCAACTTCTGGAATGCTCCCATTGTTCCAAGGCTCTGAGATGAGTACCTTGGCACTTCCTCAAATTGTATCTTGAGTCCTTCAGCCCCTGGAGCTTTCCCTTCTCGCAGTGCACCAGCTATCTTGGCAACGATCTTCTTGATCACAGGCTCATTGTCACTTCGGAGCTTCACCTGCATGTAGCCCAGCTGTGCTATGAAGGATGTCACTGTCTTGATCACATAGGGTGTCTCCAGGTTCTTGCCAGGAATGGACATTGCCAGGGCCATCCCGGTGCCGCTATCCACGATGGAGAGGATCGTGTCTGAGCTCTCCTCAAACCGCTCTGCAATGGATGTATCCGTCTTGAGAAAGCTATAGTCCAGCTCGAAGTGATTCTCGGCCAGCTTCTGCTCCATTGTCCTGCGTCGATGAGGATCATCCATTGCATGGCCTCTGGTGCAAAACTCACACCAAGGTGCTGGCGGCAGATGTGTGATCAGGTGCCGTTCAACTTCCTCCGTGTCCGGCTTCTGAGGTACCGGCACATAGGAGACATCAGGTTCCCTGCCCTCACGCAAGGCTTGCTGTCGGGCAGAGTTTCTCTCAACATAGTCTCGTGCCCGTGCCCTCCTGATCGACAAAGCTCTTTCTGCAGCCTGCAGCCTCTTCCACAAGGTGTGCTTGTCACCATAGATAGGCTCCTTGAGCTCTCGGAGTCTAGCTCTCATATCCTCCACCTTGCTCCATCCATGTAGTCGTGGACGGTCTGCTCGAGCATGGGCCTCATCCTCTGCAAACTCAGGTGGGATGGGGACCGTCTCAATCCCTTCTCCCTCATCTTCGATGCCTGCATACTCCCACTCATATTCCTCTCCTTGACCTGCCACAGGTGCCACCACACCAGTGTTCACCATGAAGTCCATGGGGATCGTCTCGTCGTCCCGCACCTTGACATAGTAGGAGTTGCAGTGGAGATACAGAGGAATCTTGAAGTCCAGCTGAGGGTGTGTGAGGAAAGGCTTCATGGGATTCCTCATGTCAGCTGCAAAGCCATTCCTACTCATCTTCCCAGCACTCAGGACATCCTTACTGGCCTGCTCGCTGACCTTGAACTCGGTGACCGCATTCAAGAAATTGTTGTCCTCGCCGATGATCTTGTAGTTCACCTTCTTCTTGCCAAGTCGTCCAAGGCACTGTCCTGAAATGCCCATCAATTTCACCTCACTCTCCTCAGTGTGGCGGTTGCCGCCAAAGCTAGGCCGACATAGATGCTCATCACTGCCTGAATCCCACAGGAGGTACTTGATCTCCTTGTCAGGCGACTGGGATGCCAGCAAATGCCAGTCCGATGGCTGCTTGCTTCGGTGAATCATCATCACCCACATCTCATCTGAGTACTCATCCTCGATGTCAAAGACGTCCTCGGCGTCTGCCCAGTTCACACGCTCTCCATCACCAGGCAGCCAGTAGTACACTGCATTGGTGCTCTGTCCACCACCGGGGGATGCAGATCTAGTTGCCGATGACGATGCCGCTGTGGCATTGGTGCTGCCACCTTTTCCTTTTCCCTCACGCTTGGCCTTGTCTTTGGCCAGCAAGCGGCAATCAGCTTTCTTGTGCCCCCATTTCCCACAGTAGGAGCACTCACCGTTGAACTTCTTTGGAGGAGGTGGCTTTCCCTTCTTGTCGAACTTGCCACCTTTGTTGACTCCTTTGTCATTCTTTGACTTGCCGCCCTTCTTGCCCTTGTCAAAGGACACTGCACCAACATCCATGGGTGCTGCTCCTCCATCATCTTTGCCCAACTCGCCCTTGGCGTTGTAGTATTGCCCTGCTTGAAGGAAATCTCGCACAAACTTCTTTGCTCGCTCATAGTTAGTCCCGACTTGAGCTCCAGCAGTCCTCAGGGCTGACCTCAGTGACATGGGCGCATGCTTCATGAGGACCGCAATCTTTGTGGAGTCCGAGACATGCTCCTTGGCTTGGATCTCATAGCGCCTCGTCAGCACTTCCCAACTCTCCAGGGATTCCAGGAAATCGTTCTCCTTGACAGTCTCCCATGCCGGGGCGATGATGCTCATCAGCATGGCTGTGTGTCTTCCTCCAACATCAGGCTCATAGGCCTCGCAGAGGGCCTTCCAAGCCTGGAAGCCATTTCCATTCTCCACATTCATCAACACCTGTAGGGCTCTGCCATCAACGCTCTGGGTGAGGAGGTTGAACAGGATGATGGCCTTCTCCTGGGCGTGCTGCCCCATATCACTCAGGATCAGGTCGCTGTACCGGTTGGCGTTCTCTGCAGCCTGGATGAGGGCCTGGTAGCTTGTATCCAGCAAGTTGAGGTACCCTCTTGCCACGAAGACCCAGGCTGCCCATTCTTCTTCTTTGCCTGAGAAGCTTTTCAACTTGCCAATGGCTCTGGTGTCGATGAGACCGCTGGCGCCGACCTGCTGAGCTGGAAGGGCTGGCTGAGCTTGCTGCTGCTGAGCTTGTTGTTGAGGTAGAAGACCTGCTTCAGCTGCCGCTGCCAGGGAATCTCCGAGCGAGAATGCACCTGGCGGGGTAAGCGGCGCAGCGTTCGAAGCCATGGGCGCTGCTTGACACCTCCACTCGGGAAGGAATTACACCGTACCCCCACCGCTCTGCGGATTTACGGGGTGTCCACCACGCAGGCGCCCACGCGCGGGTCTTACCCTGTCTAACAGGGGACCCGGAGCAGGAGCTCAACCCTGCTCCGCTACCATGCAAGCGGGTAGCGCGCCTTTTCCAGCCTAAAAGGGGCTATGTTCGTGAACAAGTTCAAGCTGTACATGATGCATATAAAGCCTTGCAGCCTCTCCACAACCAGCCTGAGGGATTTTGCCTGGTCTCTTTTTGTGCGCGCGCCTCATACGTGTTTGATGTGAGGTCTCAGGGGCGCGCGCGCGATGCATTCGAAAGGAACAACAACCATAGTAACAAAGCAAGAAGTACAAAGGCAACGGACAGCCGCGAAAAACAACAAAGATCATAAACTAACACGATGGCGAACGCGCGCCCAACCGGCATCGCCGGTCTGCGAAGCTCTACAATATACATTGTATATTATATGTTATTATTGTTCGTTGTTTCTTTCTGGGGAATAAACTGAATACACTGAATACACCATCAGATTTGCAACCATCAGTCCATTCGCAGGAATATACCAAACAAATCAAAAGCACCTGGATCTCAACCAAACGTCATTGCTGTACATCTTCATGAGAGGCATCAAACGCTTGATCGAGCATGTGGAAAATACACTTGTACAAATTTACCAAGAACCTCTGCATGCTATAGCGACTAGTGATTCAGAATGATTCAAAGATAAAACCCCTGGAGCCAAACTAGCCTCTAGACCGTGTAGAACTGTCCATTTCAAAAGGTTTCCAGGAGGAGCTATATAATAGAAATAAGTGATGTCATCCATTGTTCAATGTTTTCAATCACACATCTCCATCTTTGAACCCCTTGTAATTGCTGGGCCACCACCCATGACCAACGGACAGTGCCTGGTGCTCTTGAAAGCACTTGATCGCATCGGCTTCTGCATCTTTGAGTGCTTTGATTCTTCCCTGCCCGAGCAAAGGACGATGGATTCTGGCTTCACCGTCTAAAGCCAAACGGAGAGGCCCACAAGTTGGTTCACAGAAACAATCAGCTGATCCTTTCAACACCTGCACCCGCTTGGCACCCGGGAGTTGGGGCTTCTGCTTGGCTTCGCGGCTGAACGACGCCGCGAAGACCACCGCCAAAAAGAAGGAGCACCAGTTCAATGGAGCCCAGACCTGAAGAAACACTCAGATAAACCAAAGAAACACCATTCCGCCATGTTCCACAGGAAGATGCTGAAAGGGTGCTAACTTTACATTCTTGTCCTTCCCAATTCACCACCCAAAGCTGGGTGGAAAGCGACCCACCATCAATTCCGAGACGGACGCCTCGGTGGACGGATGCGTGGAAGCCCAGGTGGGGCTCCGGTCATCCTACCGGCACGAGTCGAAGATGGGCTGGCACGAAACGTTGGAGATGGATGTGTCTTGGGAATTCTGTGGGATGCGTTGAATGTTTTGTGGATTTCGACAGGTTTCTTAAAGGTCCTAAGCTTTCGTCTGGGTTTGGCTCTTGGTTTAGTTGGGGTCTCTCCATCAGGGTCTCCACTGGGACGGGTGTGCTTTGGCTCTGCATTGCAGGGTGCAAGGTGCAACGCACAGGGAGCGCCGTTGCATGTTTGCATGAGAGGCTTCTGCCTTCACCAGGAGCCCGATGGTCACTGTGCTACTTCAGCGTCATCCCCGCTCATCTCCCCGAGGGTTTTGGGACATGAATTGGTACCACATCAATCCCTGTCGCCCGTGGTGGAAGATCAACCAATAGATCAACCTCACCTGTGTTTCACCCTGCTTTGACACGTCTCCCTCGGCGGTTCGGAACGAGTCTCCGAAAAACGGAGATCGTCTCCCGTGCCTGGAACGAGGCGAAGCGTTCCATGAACTCGGTGGCCAAGCGCGGGTCGTAGCCCGCACGTGCACAGATCTGCAGTCCAGTGGCGTCCGCCTTTGGACCAGAAGCGGTGGTTTGAGCGCGTTTGAGAGCGGTGAGCCGGGGGGGGTGAGCTTAAATGGCAGAAACATGGGAAGCAGAACTCCATCCATCATAGTCATGCTCAAAAATATTGAACAATTATTCGAAGGGATATATAATGCTTCGAGCCCGAGCCAACTTCTGATTTCCTCTGCTCATGGATGGACAAGACGGTGGTTCCCCACCCACAAATGCATCAAATGCCTTTGAGCATACCGCTTTGCCCTCAATTCAAGAAGACTCCACCCCACACAGTACTGAGTGTCTTCATTTGGGTGTGTTTCACAACGAGCGGTCTATATATTCCCCATCTTCTTCCTTTCTGCCTTCGAGGTGGGGCCTAAAGCTCTGATGATGGTTTATGGATGTTTATGGGACCATTTGCCGCTTTCACCGTTGCTTGATCGGCGCCATGCTTCGGTCCCCTCCACCGTCGTGCTCGTGTGGAGCCGTGCTCCCACTGCATGCTTCGATCTGTCCGAGCGTTTCTTCATGTTTCCTCTGCATTCATTCACAGCCCCCAGCACGAAACTTGTCTACCATGTTCAAATTCCATCGATGGGTCATGTCACGTATGAGGTATATATATATATATATATACGTTACAAGCAACTACTTTTGGGGACCTGACCTCGCTGACCTTCTGTTTGGCGGACCTTGGGTCGCGGACGTCCGACCCCCGGTCACACAAACGTCACGTCCGCACCTGCCTCCATTTCATCGCAGCGACCCAAAGGCAGCACAAAGGCATACCTCGAAAAGCGGTTGGGTGTGTGTGTGTGCACTTGTCTTTTTTGACGATCGATTATTGAATTCTGGAATCTCACCGAATTGGCAATGTTGGGTCCGATTCACACTAGTGCGCCACAAGTGAACAAGGAAGGGTCTGATGCCAAGTTGTTGTCCAATCAAATGCACAATCCTCTTCTTCTCAAGGGTCTATTATTAAGTTACGCATATTTAACAAAGCAAAACTCTTGTTATGCCTTTACATTCACCGTTTCCCGTGGAGTAAGCATGTTGGACGCACTTTGGGGTCCAGCAAGTGACCGACCGCGTCACCGACCGCTGTGACCGACCGCTCACCGACCTGGCGATGGCGCCCGCTGCCAGCTCCAGCAAGAAGATGAACATCCCCGATGGGTCCAGGATACTCAGCAACCTATGGGACCAAGGAACAAGTGCATCGCTACTAGTAACAAGTGCCTTACTAGTAGTAACAATAAGAATTAGAATTGTAATTACTAGCAAAGGAATCCCCAAACGCCACCACGACTCGAAACCTGTTTGAAGAACGACGAACGACGCCAAGCCGTGCAAGCTTGGTTGGCCTAGCAAAAGAGATAGGTGCTTTGGCCGGTTCCAAGCGTTCGGTTTTCTGGAAGGCATCGCTTGCTTGGAATCGGTGCTCATCGCAATTGGGAGACTTGAGATCTGGAGAACGATTCCAAACAGAAAAGAAGACAAACCAGTGGGAAAAAACAAACATGAAAAAAGGCACCAAACATCCAAGTGATCCCCGATGATGCCTGCAAAATGAAGGACATAGAAGCTCACCTACTGCTGGCATTCTCCAAATTAGGAAGGATGACTTTGCGATGAACAAACCATGCAAGTTCGTGGGACTTCATGGTACTGCATGGGATTCATACCCCCACAGAATGATTCAGGTCTGCTCCTCCCGGGATACTGCATTCCATCATGTCCTCTGAGGTGCCGACACCAACTCCAACCTCAGGAAATGCTGATGGGCGAATGTGCGTCCTTCCACAGAAAGGATCATGGAATATCATGGAGAAATCGATCCAAACAAAATCAAACATACATGTGATTATACCAGCACCACCCAAAGGGGGTAGTTTATAGTGATAGAACCCCTTGAAGATGCATTTTTCATCCAATAACCATCCCTTGGGTGCTGGTATATGATTATATGTTGGGGCCTGGGTTGGCCTCTTTCATTTGCTTTTCTGTCCAGGCGTCGAAACCATTTTCAAAATCTGGAGGAGAAAGAGACTGGAACAGACCAGGCAAAAGTATCGGGTAAGTTCCAACTGAGGGCTGCTGCTACTGCTTTAAACGAAATTGTTGGCAACTTGGCCACAGGTCTTGCGTGTCCATGTTGGGGAACATATAATGTCTTGATCAGTTTTGGTCTTACAACAGCAAACACCCAATGTCAGCCAAGCCGATGGGTAGCCAAAAGATCGCCTTCCCTGTTGCAAGCCTCTGGCTCTGGCCAAAAAGGCCCGAGGCCATCCTTGTGTGATTGGGGATGGAATCCTTCTGAGCCAGATGGAGGAGATTCCCCAGGGGGTATGGGGTCCATGTATGGGTCTAGTGCTCCAGGGTGGGCCTAGGATCTGTCGCCGGTCTTGCGTCGTTTGCAAATCGACACAGAGCCATAGATGGCCTCTCTATGAACTTCTGCAGAAAACGAACACATCGCAGTGAAGCGAGGGATGGCGGTTTCACCATTTTAGCGTATCAACTATAGGGGATACGGACGTAGCTTGAGTGATTCTGAGTAGATCTTATCATGAGGAAAACTTGGATGATGATTTATAGTGAAGACCTTGACAAAGCAGTGCAGTATATACAGTTACATTAATAATCATATTATAAATACATATCACTCTGAGAATAAGTGCAAACGAGATTATCACTGGCCACCCCATAGCAATTTCTTCGCACCCAAGGAATAGTCAATGCATCAACCAAAACACCGATCTCCTGTTTCAGCACACCCACCTGTGCTAAGAAGGCAGACCAAGGTGTCTCACCATGTCGGACCAAAGTGTCCCACCCGAACGATGAAAAACGAGGTCCTCCCCTTCTCCACAGATCCAACCAGCGTACATCTGGTTTGAGGACACACTTGGAAAATCCGAACCTGCTCCTGAGATTACTGTAGAAAATGTGATGAACACTGCTGAAGACATAGATGAAATATCATGAAATATCGGTTCCAAACTGACACACCATGACCTTTCGTTCGCCCCGACAAATGCCCCGCTGCCCCGGTCCAGGGACGAGTAGGCCGTGGTCCAAATCCCCAAGCTCTCGTAGCCGTGGTCGTGGACCGCATGTGCCAGCTCGTGACCCAAAAGCATCGCCAACCTGGGCCGTGCGGTTCGAACGATCAGGTGATGCTATGGGTGATCGAGGATGACTCTGGGTCATGCTGGATCATCCCGGTGTCGGACGGCTCAGTGTACTCAAAAATATCTTTGGAAGGGCTGATTACTATCATCTGCTACCATCTTTGCATTCCATCATGAACCACATGACATCTGCTGTTCTGCTGTTTAATACATGAGAAGAGTGTTGTCAAACAAACATCTCGAGATGTACTTCAATTTGACCGTCCCAAACTTTTTGAACCGATCAAACGGTGTGTGAGCAAAAACGCTCAACCGGCTTTTTTCGTCGTCGAGTCACTGTTCATCGTTCTCCACCAATTGCCTCCGCTCGCGAACTCTCATATCCTGGCGAGGCCGGCGGTCGCGGCTTGGCGCGTTGACATCGCGTGTTCACGAGACTCCGGCGAGTCCGAAGCTGAAGCGAAGTGGAACAAAAATAACTCAAAGTGCTGTTCAACCCAATGGCAAAAAGGAACCTACTAATAGGAATGGCCTGCAACCTACTAATAGGAATGGCCTCCAACCTAATAGCAAACTATAAGAGACCAGTAGTGCCTTTCTCAGCCTGTGGCTGCTCGTGGCGTCGTGTGAACTCCCACCGTGGCATTAAACCTTTGCCTTTGCTCTATTGAGATCCCATATGAACGTCTGCAAGCAGTCTGCTATGCAGCCTGCGACGCAGGATTCGTTACAAGAGCTTCACCAAGGTAAATACATGGTTGCGTCGTGCAACAAGATTCAGTACGTTGCGCAACCAGTTCCAACCCTATGGATCGACATACCTTCTGAGAAGGTGATTGGAGACTATGCATGTAGGCTTGGAGGGTCCAATTGCCTTCTGAGAAGGTATGTGGATCCATAGGGCAACAAGTTGCTCAGCAGCTACAAGCCCTGGCGGACCCGGTATACGGAGGATACGGCCAACGACCCCCCGGTCCTCGGGCCCAACGGTGACCGTCTCGGAATCACCCAAGATGGCGGCCCATTGATCCTGGAGGGTCAAAGCCTAGTGGGTGTGAGTCAAACAAGTCAATAAAATGTAATAGGGTAAAGGGTCAAGACCCACCATTAAAAACAAACACAAAAAAAACACAGACATTTGTTTTAAACGATACAAAGGAGTATTAATATCATATATACATATTTCACAAATATCATCAAATATCCATCAAGTCGGTCGCGACACCAAACCTTACGACGTATACAGGTGTACATAGGTGTCCATCCACTTTTTACATCTTCTTCTGACTCACCCCTTGCAAACCCCTTTGCACCTTGCTGCTTTTTGTTGCTGCGCACCTGGTGCTGGGAGACCAGCTTCGCCCGCTGCCAGCCATCACGACGGACATAGACTTCCTTCCCCACCTGCAGCCCCTGCGCGAAGAGAATGCTTGGGAGGAGAGGTGGGCGGAGGATTCCATTGAAGACAGGCTGACAGGGAAATGAATGGAAGTCAAGTCAAGCCGAAGAATTGATGCAGGTCTACTAAAGGCATCTAAAGGCCAAGAAAGGGCCTTTGTAGATAGCCCCCTCATGATCTTTCAAACCTTCAAGCTTGACGGAGAACTCTCAGGTCAAAGCAGGGGCGAAAAAATATCCCACACTGTTAACCGCCGCAGCTCAGGGATCCCTAGGTGATGTTAACTTTGTTCACTTGGCCTACTTGTCTTTGAATCGACCCCGTCCGTCGACAAGCCCACCGCCATTCGCCTCTGGTCGCGCTAAGCCATCGACCCCTGGGCGATCCGCTGAAAGCAGCAAAGCGGCAGGACCCCTGGGGTTTACATCGGTGAACCCTACGTGATGTGGGACGTTTCTAATTTTCTATGTCATACTGCATATTGGCATTGGGCATATCATGGTATATCATATGGTACTGATGATGGTTGGGTTCTGTTGGGTTGCAAACCGTTCCCCAAACTGATATCCTTTACCGATCGTTACAGGTGCCAGGTAATGGAACACACCCACATGTATGTATACACAGGGGCCCAACTTGTTTTGTCTGAAGCCACTGCATGGTCTTCTACATTTAAATTGACAGGATCAGGAGAACTACAACGGTGTGGACATGTTCTCAGGATGTTTTCTGAGCGACTGCAACAAGTACAAGTAATGCAGACTCTTGATTAATAACCCCCCATTTGAATTGGCCATACTCTTCATATGGGAGGTTGATTAATCAAGAGTCTACATTACCAAGAGTCAACCTATTCATGTTCTTTGTTCCGTGCCACCTCCGTCACCCTTTTCGGGCCCTTCCCAGGCGATCGCCGATCGCGTCTGTCCTCTCTGGACCCAGGAACTCAAGCACCCAAACGCTCCGTTCACAGCCCGACCAGTCCTGAACCAAACCATAGCAATTTGAGGGTCCGGCCCCTACTGAACGGAGGGTCCAGGGTCGCGTCTGGGCATGTTGTTTCTGAGAGAACATGATCGTCTTGCACGAGTGGGTTGTAAGAGCCTGTGCTGGTATGCGATGGGCAAATTCTTGACCAAACCGCTAAATGTATGATCATGATAACTGCTAAACTACTATTAAAACTATACCAACTGAATCATCCTAACTGAAACATTCAAATGTTAGATGACCAAATGGATGATGTGGACCCATCTTTGACCCCACACACCTATGACCCCCTCGTCCCTCCGCTCCGTCCCTCCGCTCCCGAGCGGCAGAAGATGCCCCGGTGCACGAAGACCATCCGCGGCAACATCGGAGTGACCTGGCTCCGAACGGCGGTGACCCCCACCGGGCCGGTGGACTTCGGTCCCGGGCCCGGACCGGTGCGATCGAGTTCGGGCGCCGGGCGAAGGCGTTGGGAGTGTTCACGTCCACCACCAGGAATCCATGGTCCGACCACCTCGGACGGGACGTCTGGTTCCTCAGAGACCGAACATGTTGGAACCCTTAAAAGGAAGTCCATATTATTGGAACACTGTATAGAAACAAGACTCCCTTTTGATGGAAACATCTTGTTTAAAAGGTAATGGGAAACGAAAGGGACACCGCCTGTAGAACAATGGCGTGTGACCCAGAACTTCAGAACTGTGAGGGTCTGTGTACGTGATGGTGGCAGTTGCGTCCTGCGTACCGCCACGGGTAAGGCCGTGAAGGAACAAATGAAACAATTATGTCCTAAATCCTAAATGATTACAAACAGAACAAAACACCAATTGGTCATTTCATTCACTTCTACGGTAGTTCCAGTGTACAACAGTGTCTGTGGTGAATCTGGGATGGCCTTGTTGCAACGAACGGTACCTTTTTTGGTACTCCTAGACAACCCCGCCCATGCATTGACACTTGCCAAGCTTGATTTCCAGCTCCCAATCGCCCAAGTACTTCGAAACCACGATAAATACCGCACTGAAATCCCAGGTTTACGGGAAAAACTACCGGAAACCCGTAGTTTTGGGGTGAAAACCATGGTTTCCTGTAGAGGTTCCCTCAATCCAATTGTTCTTTAAAAAAGCACATCCACTGCGCTCGAGTCACCCCTGCAAACGCTTCTGCGCCCGTTGCAAGGTCTCCAAGTCCTTCTCTTGGCTGCGTGTGGCTTCGCCTGACTCGCCATCAACTCGGCGTGTGATCCACATGGATCCACAGGCATTGGGGGATTGATGGCGAGGAAGCAGGGCAACATCAGCGGAATTTTGCGTCCACAAGTTCTACAGTAAGTGTGACCAAGAACGGCCAAGAATGATGTCAATTGGATCATTGCTGAAACATCTTCACAGGATTAGATTAAACAAGGTGTTTCTGCCCAAACAATTTGGGGCTCGAAAAGTTTGTGCCCGTGAGATATGTGTGCAATTTGCACGGTCTGTGCTTGCCTTTTGCTCAAGTAGAAGCAAAAGAAGGGCTACAAACAAAGTCACAAGCTCGAATCCATATCACCCGATCCTGATGGTCCCTGGTTCCGTCAAAAGGCAAATTGAAAGGTCAACCAACCTGAAAATGCTCGGCCTGAAAAGCTCCGGGGCACTTCACCCGAGCCCGGGCGCGAGCCCAGTACTCTCACTGAGCTGAACATCTCAGCTCTGAGTGCCGCATGTTGATGGAAAGTGAGAAACCAAGCAGGCGGTTGCTGAGAGGAAAGACATCTGGCTGAAAAAGAGGTATCTAAGAACTTTGGTGCTTTCAATGGAGTCAAACTCCTTATTCACTCAATTGGCTCAACAGTGAATAAACTTGGAAACATCACTAACCTACAACAGTGTTGATCAAATCTCTCATTACAAAAAATTAACAAACACCTGATATTACCGCTTTACTTTGCCCTTGACAGCATTGCCTGGTGGAAATGAACCAATGAACTCCCTTGGATGGCCGACAGGCCGACATCAAACAAATGTCTCAACATAGCTTAGCTCTGTCAACGCTAGACTCGACAATCAGAAGCAAGACCATGCTGGTAGCCGCTGCCTTTCCCATCTTCCAATGACCGTGGGTTCTGTTGTAGTTTGGGATTGTGAGACCTGGAAGCTTTATGATTCTCAGGCTCTACAGAATGTCAACCTTCAGGCTAGCTGTACAGTTGCAAAGGCCAATCCCTTGCCCGACAAAAATCAGCTAGTTAGAAATCATCTCTTTGCGTGTGTCTTTGAAGGCTTGTTGTGGGGCAATGGGATGCAATGGACATTCTGCAAAAAAGCTCTGCTCAAGTTGATCTGATCCGGTTGAATCTCCGCCGCCCTTGTGGCAAGTGATCAATGAGCAGAAAAGCTGTACAAGTTACACGGTCCACGGGAATTTTGTGCGTCCGCCACAACGGGAATCTTTGGGATCTTCGCCTCAACGGGCAGACTGATACCCTGTCAGCAACCATCACATCTGTCCAACCGGGCATGGTTGGATGAGGCCAACATCAACTAAAAATCTCTGACCATGTGGTGTGGCCTCCAAGTCTTTCTGATGTTCTGCTATGAGTATCATTGCGACCTCAGCGTTCACACACCAGTGGCGAAGCAGTGCTCGTGCTACATAGCATCCAAACTGAGTCAAAGCAAGGTCCAAGATCGCTTGTGGGTGACCCAGCTTTGCAACCAAGATCTCTTGCTCACTTTGACTGCAGTAGGACAAAGCCTTTTCAACAAGGTAGCTTGAATTCTTATGGGTTGCATACTTCCAAGGATCTGTCAGCAACACCTCCGCAATTTGCTTCTTGTGGCGCTCTTCACCGTTCTCCAAAATAGACTCCATTACGTGATGTGCAAAGTTGTGTGTGCACAAGTCAGCAAACTCCAGCATCAGCTCGTCAGCGAGATCCGAGGTTGCACTGGACTTGGTCAACTCAACAAGTCTGCAAAGGATTCGGCAAGCAAAACGGTGTTTGGCCACACGGACAGCACTGCCATGAAGTTCTTGGGCCACAAAGCTACTTGCTGCAGTGGAGAGGTGTAAAATCACTTTCTGCACTACATAGTTGGCATAGGGGCATGTCACTGCTTCGAGAACATGGCCCTGCAACTCAGCGGCCAATTCAGCAGCCTCACGTGTTCCCATCTCCAATGCCTCTTGCACCAGGCGACAGCCGATCTCATTCCGAGACCATGCCCACACATTGTCCTTCATGCTCTGAACTGCCACAGCTGGTTCCTCTATCAACATCGCACGGAGCTGTTCCAGGCTCAGCTGTGGTGCACCCTCAGCATGCGTTCTCTTGGCACGTTCTGCAGCACGCTTTCGCCTCAGGCGCCGTGCTGTGCTGGCTGTGAATCGTGGCTTCTCAATGTTCTCCGCGTCACTGTCATCACTGGGCAAGCGTGTACGCGGCGTCGGTTGGCCACTGCTGGGTGGGACGGATGTTGCCTGATGAGCTGAAGCACGTGGAACCTGTAATGATTGCACGCTTGCAGCTTGCTGATGTAGGTTTGGCTGAGTCGGCTGGGTTGGCTGAGGCCACCAAGTCACGTAGTTCACCGGAACAACGGAGTTTTGGATTGATGTCATGTAGTTCTGGTCCACTGGGACCAATACGATGACCTGTTGCTCAGGCTGCTGTGGGCACGTCATGTGCATGTGGTTCAAACTGTTCATCATTTCGGACGGCATCAGTGACATTGCAAAGAAGAGAAACTAGATCGCGCTGGAGAACCCCGGGCGCTACAGTAATCTGCTGTCACTTGCTGTTTGAGCTCAGTTTGCTGCGTGTTGATGCAATGCCCAACCAAGCAGGCCATTGCCTAAATGAAAAAGATCTGGCCGACGGAGGCATCAAGAAACTTTCGTGCTTAAAAAAACAGAGTGAAACTCCTAATTAACTCAATGTAGATAGACTCTTGATTAACAAAGCTCCCCCATTTGGCTTGTGAGACCCCTTCAGGGTTTCATGAATCAAGTGTCAAGAGTCTAATTACATTATATAATTGGCTTCATCTTGACTGATCAAGTGCAGGCCTTGCCAGGCACAACAAAAACTTAAAGTGTGGACACTGGTGTCCGCGGGATGGTCCTTATAGTGCCGACTCAAATCTCTCAACGTTCTGGCCTCCTAACGTTAGGCAAGGCAGGCTTGCCGTAGGCCCCAGATCAATGTCCTGGTTGTGAAAATCCAGGGAATCCCCCAGAGGTGAACTGGTCCTCCTGTTTCCCCACCCTCTGACACACCTTGTTGGATGGCTTGAAAAATCTCTTCTGCCAAGGCATCCACCTGCTTCGGCGCACCGATGGATGAAGCAGGTGGAATAGGTGTCCAGGAACGACTTGGTCGAATAGGAGCCAACTCCTGGGTCAGCCTCTCCAGGCTTGAATTGCTTGTGGGAGAGAAACACCGTCTTCCATCTTCCCAGGAGCAAGGCTGTCCATTTCCATATGTTCATCCGACGGGCTCAAACCGGTCGCTTCCTACGATCCGTCGATTCATCCGAGATGTGTCTTAGAATGGGCCCTGCGAGCCTCTGGAAGGCGGTTAGGGTATAATTGAACTTTGAAGGTCCAACTACCTTTTCAGAATGGAGAGATCGACATGTCTGCAGCCAATTTCTGATTTTACTGCAGCAGTCCGGCGCATATCGCCGCGGCCAGGCCCTCACAAATAACCCATCTAGACCAACCTATCCTGAATCATCAAAGCCAACCCTTCGTTGAGACTCTTTCATTTAGAGGGTACACTGAAACCCGCCAGCCCCCAGCCCTCTCATCTCACCCAGGATTCGCTTCTCCAAACTCAGGTCGGGAAAAGTTGCTCACTTGCTGACTAAGGTCATATAAAATCAAACCAATGAGCTAGCATGTAGAACAGCTTTTCAACATATCCAATAGTGTATGGGCAGCTGGGTCTGGTTCTTTTCAGTTGTAACTCTTGTAACCAGGTTTTCTCCTCCACTTCCACCAGGTCACACCATGTGATGCGCTCCGCTCCCATCCCTTGAACGGAGCCGCCGCTGAATCAGCACTCGGCCACTGCACCAGGACAAGAAGAAGGTATTTCGGTCTCCCAAGCGTCAAAGAAGGGGTCAATGGTCACTGCACTCCCTGAACATCCTCATGGAGTTACGGGGATGGCACCACCTGTTGGGTTTTTGCTTTCACTCAACGACCGTCATGGTCCTCCTTGTGCGGCATCTGCTATTCCTCCGACTTCATCGACCCAAAACCCCATGGAAAAATAGACCTGGGCAGGTCCCACGACCTCGGTCAGGGACCTGGGCCCGGGCGGCGCGCAGCAAGCGCGGAAGCACCCGCTTCACGGCCTGCGAGGACCGAGCCCCGGTGTGACCGGGGTCCACAAGTGGTGGAAAAACCACCACGTTTAAGGATCTTGGAAACAATCAAATTGGTTAGGCATAATATGGGGGTTTCCCTTTCCGGGCCAGAGTTTTTGAATCAAAGAATGCTCGATTGCTTTTGAGTGTTCATATGTTTTCATCATTGGACATCCGAGGTCAAGCTCCATCTCAAGCTCCATCGCAACTCAAGCTCCGAGAACTTTACCTCAAACGTCTCTTCCGCTTCTCCAAGCTTTCGCGCTCTCCTGTTTGGGAAAAAAACCACCGGCCTTCACCTCCTCCGAATGATCCTCACAAAGCCTGGCGCCCAGGCGTCCGTGGACATTCGTGGACGGAAACGTCGCGAAGGGTGGGCAAGAATGCGTGAACTCCCGAGGCGTGTAGACTAAGAGCGTCCATCGCTCAGTCCTTTGGATGCGTTGGATTGTGCATAGTTTAATTGCTCTAATCCTAGGCTAAATCATCCTAGCAGCTAGCATCCTGAATGGAGGAAAACATATAGATATATATGATATATTTGTGTGCTTCTATTCGATGACCTTCCATTGTTATGCAATCGAAATGCAGCCAATGACACCCGTGGTCGAATCTATACGATAATCTTGATGTTCTCGCTCATTGCCGGGATTCACCAGCGAGGCAGAAGAGCAAGTGTCAAAGTTTAGTAGTCTGGGGATGTGATGGTGCATGTTTCGGGTTGAAACCATGTTGCCAATTGAACCTCCAGATACAAAAGCTACTGTATTGAGCCATAGAGAGCAAGGACTGCAAACTGAAAACGTCTTTCTTTGGATCCAAATGGCTTCTCCCGAGAGACCATTTTAACAATGGTCTTCGACACCCAGGGTATATACATATATAATATATAACAAATAACTAATTGATAATAATATATTAATCTATACGAGTAATTAATCTCATTATCAAAACCTTTCACACAATAATTTAGTTTAATTTAGTGTTCAGTCGAGATGGCCCTGCATGGCCCAGCCATCCTGCAGGCAAAGTCTGCTGTCAATGTGCGGGTGCGGAGGCAATTCCCCTCGATTCCCTGCCAATGACCCTGGCCTTCCAAAGTGACCTGATACAAAAACTGCCACGCGATGAGTTTGCAAGCCTGACCCCAGACACGGCTTGCCCTCACCTCCAAACCCCGCTCACGGAACCCGTGGTCCAACGGTCCAACACCCCAGCGGGTTCCGCGGAGCTTCCGCGGTTCCGCGGCCTCACGTGACCCTCCGCGTCGGTGGCGTTCATCGATTTCAGCAAGGCCGTCGCCTGGCGTGGCCGTGGTCGCACCCGGACCTGGGTCTGGTGTGACCTGCGTCTTAAAAGGACTAGACCAGGTGCGTCCAAACAACCAGGGCATGCGAGTTTTAACTGATTGAACATGATTTGAGTGAGCAGTCTGGCATTTTGCATGTATATATATAATATAATATATATATATATATCAACTCTTGAGCCTTTCTTCAAACATCTTCAAACAAACCTATGTACATATATATATATATACGCAAACGCAAACTTTCATTTCCTTGACTCCTAGCTTGGCCTTGAGTCCTTTTTGTTGCAAAATCAGAGCACCGAATAATTACAGGCTCCCGCCCCTCGTTTTAGCATGTTTTAGCAAACAGCACTCATTGACAGTCAACATCACCCAAATTTAGGGTTTGAAGTGTTCGATCATCTCCATGGGCACACAACCAGAGGTGAGATTCCAGATGTGAGATTCACAATGAAAGGACTGATACAGCTTCGCGATCGTCCAAGCCACACCGAACACTGCCACCATCTGACCACAAAGAACGGCCACACCCAATTGCCAGCGAACGCTGCCACTGGCTAAGGCCCGGCAAAGACCGACCGCCATGGGCAAGGTTTTGGCCAGGCACGAGAAAAGGCCAAGGCCCATAGAGATCAACAGCTTCACCTTCCCAACATGATGCAAGCGCTTGAAAATGAGAGCAAAGAAGGAGGCTTGCAACCAAAGCTGCACCACGTTCTCCAAGAAGACTTTGGAAATGGAGGTGAGTAAGGCACGCTCGCTCAGGCACCCGCCGTCCTCCGCGGCCTTGCTCCAGTCACGATCCTGTTCTTCATACCTTGGAATTTGTGCAAAAGAAGCATCAGACATCATCTTCCCCAGAACATTCACCCCAAAAAGATAAAAAAACGAGAACATCTAGCATCATTCAACCTTTCTTTCTCTGCTTTCTCCGTTCTTTTACCCAGTTTTTTTACCCAGGAGACCAATTGGCCACTGCGCCGAAGCCCGGCACATCCGCCGCCAAGTCATGGCGGTCTTCTCCACTGTCCACCGCACCCAAGAGTTGCTGCGTCAGGGCTGCAAAGGACAAGACCTGGATGTGGGCAGATCTCCTTATGCTTAGGTCAACCTTGATGTTATGACAAGCTGCTTAAGGTGTCACATTTTAAAAAAACAAGGTGTTATATACGGTTATATATATATATATATCGTCCGTCAGAGTCCCAAACCGCAGTTCTGGCACATTGCCTAACCAAAATTCATATTCCAAGGAAAACGGTCCTATATCTATTGCCTATATCTATTCTTCGTTTCCGTCCAGGGACCAGTGTCAACAAGCCCCAGAAGTGCAGCGTCCGGATGATCGGCGCCAGCGGCCAGGCCGCCGAGACCTCGAAGCTTTCCGCGAAGTGCTCCGTGACCGTTGGGCCGCACAAGTAGGCCTGCACCGGGCAAGAAGCTACGAACGGAGCAAAAGGGCCTTACTACGATCTACTAGGAACAAGGACGCTACTATAGGGGCTCCTGGCCGTACTACTGCAGCAAGAACGCTACTAGGGGCTCCTGGCCGTACTACTAGGAGCAAGGACACTACTAGTAACAAGAAGCTACTTTAGGGGCTCCTGGCATCGCTATGAACGGAGCGATCGGACGCTACGAACGGAACAAGAGGGGCCTCGCCTGCACCGGCAAGGCGCCATCCGTGAACCAATCGGCGTGTTCCAAGCAACCCAGCCAAAAGCCAGGCATGGAGAAAATGCCGCAAAGGTCTTCGTTCAAGGCACGCATGATCTTGATCTCAACCCACTTGGCACGGCAGAGAAGAGGTATGTAGAGCAAATAGCCCCAGAATGGCATGCCTTTTTCACAGCTGGTTTGGCGGATCAAAAGCAGTGGGATGAGCGGATACAATAACATCAATCTCATTTCTTGCCGCAGGATATGACCAATTTTTTCATGGTCTGGCCGGTAGGCATGCTTCGCCAGCTCCCCCTCGGTGATCGGCGTGTACAAGCCACTTCCATAGCTCTGGAAATCTCCTCGTTGAAATCCAACTCGGATGCAACCAAAGCAGCAACAAAGCTGCCCACCACCGCATACCAATGCCAAGAAAACGGCCATGACCCAGGTCTGCCATCCCCAAACATCATCGTCATGCTGGTGTTCATTGAAGTCATATTCTTTGAGTCGCCGGTCCGGAGGCGATTCGAAGGGAGACGAAGAACTTCGACACAGATGGAAAATGCAAAGACTCAAAATGCTTGTGATGGCCATCAGACAGGTTGGCAGTAAGTGACGACATTGCGACAGTGACGACATTCGGTTTCAGGAATTTGGCGGTTGCTGGTGAAAAAGAATCTGAGTATTGATTGGCTTCCGCAACCTTGCAGTTCAGTTCTACATTGTTGGCCAGTCAGGATTTGGCAGCAAAATCCTGACTGCTTCAGTGATTCATTGTACGTGCTGCCACAGTTTCTACATGTTTCTACGACAGTCTGAGCCAAGACATGAAGACAAGAGTCCCAATCCCTGTGCCGGTCAGCGTTTGGAGTCTGACCCAAGAAGCGAAATTACAACCACTCGGGACCGCATGCACACTGAGACGTGCACACTGGTAGTACTTCGTGTGCGCTCGCGTGACCGACCTGGAGTGCGGACAATTAATCCACTTGAATCCACTTCTCACCAAGACTTACAGTGCCGAGTTCAGCAATGTCACAGGGCGGAATAGAACTATGATGAACTTATACTAACCAGCCAGAGCAGTTTCTGCTATTGTGTGGCCACCAACTGACCACACCTTCTCATTTCTCATGTACAGGAATCATCTAACAAGAAACCTTACACTGCACTCATCAACAGCCAAATCAGAAAGAACCTACAACTACTACAGCTGCGTGTTAGATTGTATTGGAACAAAGCCTGAAAAGAGCCCCCGAACCACTTGTATAATCTTGTATATATCTATCGGTACTTTAGAGATATGTTCGAACAGGCCTCCACTGACGCTCCGTGAAAGCACTGGTCCACCGTCCAACGAGCTCGTCCGAGATCGTCCGCTTCCGGCGCCTTCTTCTGGCGGAAGTCCTGTGGATCGGCCAAGACGTCCGAGACGCCGGTGGTGTAGCCCACGCCTGAGACGGGAGGGAAAAGAGTGAGATGGGATGGGTGAGATGAGAGGGTGGAAGGAGTTCTGGACCAGGTGTGTGGGTGTCCTTCTGTCGGTTTCTGATGATTGGGTATGGTATGTTGTTGTTGTTGTTGTGGTGGTGGTGGTGGTGGTGGTGTGTCCGGGACTGATTCGCAGCAGCATTGTGCACGGCTAAACTGACAGGCCTTTGTCCATTTCCCCCTTCTTCCCCAATTTTTTGAGACAAACCTGTATGTTCATGTTCAAGGACATTACATGAGTGGGAGCCCGAAAGACAAGGTTGTGCAGCCAGTGTAGTTTCAGCAAAAAAGAAAGCAGCATAAACACACACTAAATGTGCGCCATGCTCGCTACGGAACTCCAACGGATGAACCAGTCACTGTCTATGTTACAACCGCTGTGGCAAAGCACTGGTCCACGGGCGGCAGGTCGAGGTCTGCCTGTGTTCGTCCGCCTTTTCCCACTTGAACATCCTTGGAGCCCGAACTGTCATGTGCAGTAATTATAGTGGTGTTATCAGATGCGTTTGGGGCCCATGTCAGGCGGTGCGGTGGTGCAGCATGGTACAGTTGCCAGGCGTCATTCGGAACCAACATCCTCAGAGTCTCATTCGTATTCGCCCGAAACTATAAAGTTATCTAATCTAGGCACGAAGACCGAGTTTCAGGGGGGCACATCAGGGGAAAGGAACCAGAACCAAGGACCATGATTGTCCTCTGCATTGGGCTGCGAAACATCACACATCAAACGTCACACCCCCGAGTCATTCAAGAATCCTCATCTTCCAATCCCCTCGGGCAGCATTTCAAGAGGGCAATCTGGCAACGCTAGCCGCAACAACACCGGCTTGAATCCAAGGGCCTTGGGACCAGTTCTTCCCCAAGCGGTCCAGCGCCCAGGTTCCCCAACCGAAGATGGACACTGAGAGCGCCCCAATGCGCGAAGCGCGCAGTGCCCTGTGCAGGACGCGATCGAATCGCCGCGGCTGGTTGACCGGTCCACTCAGACAGACCCCGCGTTTCAATGGAGCTAAGGCAGCGTGTGAAAACGAGTCCTTTCACTGCACAGTTTCCGTTCCCACATCCTGAAATGACCGATGACCCTCCTCAGAGAATACCTCGTACAGGGTCCGCAGGTGAGCCTGCAGGGTGATTTTCAGGGTCGATGTTAGTCTGCAGGGGGATCAAACAAAAACATGAACCAGAACCACCGAATATTCCAGAACCGGCCTCCGAAGCCAGCGATTGTTCCAGAACTCCCAGATGGGGCGCCGTGCACCGGAATTCGCGCTGCCTGCGCAGGACGGAGATGAGCGAAAATGCAAAGGGAAGACAGGCAGTGACTTCCGGGAAGGTGAGATTTATATATATATATACCAGACCACGGAAAGAGTGTCCATTAATAGCCCCTTAGAGGTCAAGGGGTGTCCATCAACCACCTCTTGGGGGTCCAGGTGTTATACATATATATATATATATGAATATTTGTTTTTAAGAGCTGAAAGATCTGTGGATGAATCCAGCTACTTAAATGGTTGTGGCACTTGACTCCTGTTCCCATGTGCTTTGCACTGTGCAGAAGGTGTTTGATGCGGTTGTGGGTCCCAAGTGGAGAGGAAACAAACTTGACACGGAGACTCGGACCATGCTGGCCCTCTCCATCTGTCTCTTAAGCCTTCAACGCGACACCATTTGTCAGATTCGTCCTGTACTTCCCATTCGGAACATGCGTCTGAATCTGAATTAACAATTCTGGGATCGAAACAAGAGCGAAACTTGAATTTGTTTCACAAGAGCCGAGTCTTATGGCCTTGGTTATACAGTACGCCTTTCTTGGACCTTGCAGACCTCTTCTAGCTGGCTTCAACCACACCCACCAAAAATTATTGCAACATCATACTTCAATGTGGTGACTGCAATGTTACTGTGGTGACTTCAACTTCAAATTTGTTTCATCATCCTAATGACGAGGCTCCAGCAAACCGGCCTGTCCCAATCACAATCCCGCGCAGCCCACGTAAGGCAGCCGGTGCCAAAGGCATGCGCCGACCTACAAGAGAACATTGGGCGCAGCTGCATTTCTAGCAACACAACTCCCAATCTCACACCTTACCATCACCCTGAAGATAACCACAGATAATCTGAAAGAAACCACGGAAAAAATGGGTGAGGGTCGGATCTGCAGGTAAGGTGGTCGGATCGGTCGCCACGGATCGGTGACCACAAATCGTCAGATCAGTCACCGAAAATCACGGATGGGTGACTGGAAAACACAGATCGGTGACCAAGCTCAACGGATCGGTACCTCGGTCGCCAGGATCGGTCACCGGAGGTATAGCGAAAGAAAGTGAAACAAACGAAGCCGACCATACCGGATCGGTCGCCACTAACAAGCTTGCAAACCTGTATGCCGGACTTCAATGTCTGCCCAACAAAAGCATTATCTACGTCACCCGCATGCTCCTACCCAGGCTGCCCACGCATGGCGAAACAAACCAACCACACCGGATCGGTCGCCAGGATCGGTCACCAGAGAGGTCTAGCGAAGGAAAGAAAAACAAACCAAACCATCCACACCGGATCGGTCGCCAGGATCGGTCACCAGAGAGTGGTCTAGCGAAGGAAAGAAAAACAAACCAAACCAACCATACTGGATCGGTCGCCAGGATCGGTCACCAGAGAGGTCTAGCGATGGCAAGGAAAACAAAACAAACCAAACCAACCACGCCGGATCGGTTGCAGGATCGGTCACCAGAGAGGTCTAGCTAAGGAAAAGAAAAAAAGCAACCATACCGGATTATACAACGTCACAATCCCTGAGTCCAGACTTTTTAAAATATCCTAAACTCAGGAAATGGGTTGTTGAAAAATATGTGTGTGTGTGTGAAAACACGTCAAAATGAATTCGGTCAAACCTGAGCTGGAGTGGTTACCCAACCTGAGCTGGATGACAATCTCGGCGGAACGCCTTGAACGCCTGCTCAAGGCGTAAGAGGTCCTGAGCAAGCAGGATCATGATCAAATTGTCACAGCAAAGCAACATAGGTGAAAGTTAAAAAAACTTGTTGCGACAAGCTTCTGTTGCAACTTTGAAGATGTTGGGAGGGCGCACGTGTGCGGCTGTCTTTTAGCACTTCGTTGACTCTTTTCATGGGCCGCCATCGTGAAACGGTCTGTGCCCGCTGTCCAACGTTCTTCGGCTGTTGTCGGCTGTCTGTTTGGTCGCTGATCTTCTCTTCCAGCTTTCGCGAGGAAGCCCACCTGTCCTGGCATGATCTGAAACATGTCCATCACTGCCGCAAAACTTGCCTGCATCACTGGACTCTGCCACACCTGTAAATTCCATGTTGACAAAGTCAACCCGACAAATTCCTGAGCAAGCTTCGGCCACGTCTCCCTTGAGAACATTATCCCAAAAGACTTTCGTAATGCGCGCTGAAGGATGTAAACATTGAGCGATTCGCAGAATGTCCGACTCTGGATCATTCAACTCCCTGTCAACAGGTGCCTTCAAGCCATGTTGCCGGCATCGGATCGCCCGTGTCATTCAATCTGCAGCCGCAAAACTTCCAGCGGCGCTGCTAAAGATTTGCAACTTCCAATGATGTGCTCATCACTGTCCCTTGTCAGTGCACGGGGTACATTTACCCAAACAGCGAAAATTTTGTGGATCTTTTCCAGCCAGTCTCTTCAACAATGCTCGCACACAATCAAAGGTGACCGTTCCAAGAGTCTCTCGCAGTCTTGCTCTTGCTGTGGTTCAGGTGGCAGTGAGCTGCCCGAGGCTTTGGAAATGGGAGCCGCAGCTGTTGAAGCCTGAGCCGCAGCTGTTACGTTCTTGGCAACTTCTGCTCTGCAAAAAGAAATGGATAAGGCGGCCTTAGATAAGGCGGATGCTTTGGCACAGCCTGATGCGCCACTTTGATCGCCCGTAGGCGCTCCAAGAGCTCCAACCACCAGAGAGGCTTGTTCTCAGGAAACCTGATATTCTAACCAGACAAACATGACAAAACTGATAGCACAAACTCAGTAGAAATTAAACAGGATGCCAAAGATTCCAAAAGAATATACATAAGAAGAGGAAAGCAAATGCTAACTGCCACAAGATACTCCCATGTTTCTTGCTTCATCATCCTGGAATCGAACACCTTTTCGATTGCGCTGCACAGTTCACGCATGCAGGTAAGCCATCCGTTCTGCCGCAGCATGCTTTCATTTTCCGCAATGAGCGCGCGAGTATACCCATTGAGTCTTTGCATGACCTTTGAAGCCGTTCCGCCTTTGTTTGCTTTGTTCCACGGCCGCAGACCGCCCATATCAATCATAGCTGCCGTCCTGGCAGCAACATCCGCTTGGAGAAGCACGCCAAAATTGTCTAATTTCGCATGCCAAGGTATGATGTCTAAAGCGAGGAAGCAACACACGAAGTCTAACATTCTGATATACAGTCCACATAACTGTGCTATGCCTCTGGCGAGCATCGCTCCAAACCCGCACAGACACCTTGTCAGCGATCAGCAGCGCTTTTTCTGCTATAGTTATTGCGATTCACAACTTCCACCCAGAACCAAGTTCCCTTCTTGCTCCAGGAAACACATTCCAAAATATGATGGCAGAAGTGCATGTACCCCAGGAAACATGTTCCATGTCTCCATTTCAACCCTGGCTGTGTAAGGCCAACCTTGCAAGTTGCGCTCCCGTCGCGTGAGCTTCGAACACAAAGGTAGTTCACCACATAGGAGCGCTTCTTTGTAGGCACCGTGACCTGCCCCAAAGATTCTGTCTTCAAGCTCCATTTTCTCATCTCCATTTCCACTTGTAAAGAGCATGTGCACATATATATATATCCTTGTCGAATCATTGGCCTGTTTTTGTCCCACGTCACTGAGTCGATGTGAAGACGCAAAAATTCTATGCGAAAGGACCGGAGCTTCCTTCAGCAAGAGTTCCACTGCTGCAATCAGAGTATGTGAGAATAACACATATACTTTTCCAAAAGGGCTTCCAGCGTCCGTCGTCAGAGTCTCAATCTGTATACTGGACTTCAGTGTCGGCCCAGCAAACACATTATATATCTACGTCACCCGCACGCTCCTACCCAGGCTGCCCACGCATGGTGAAACAAACCAACCACACTGGATCGGTCACCAGAGAGGTCTGGCGAAGGCAAGGAAAACAAACCAAACCAACCACACCGGATCGGTCGCCAGGATCGGTAACCAGAGAGGTCTAGCTAAGGAAAATAAAATAACAAAGCAACCGATCATACGACGTCACAATCCCTGAGTCGCTGATCTCGCTGATCCGGAAAACATGATCGCTAATCCATGGTCCCTGATCTCGCTCCGACAGTCGCTGATCCTATAAATCTTGGTCGCTGATCCGGGAACCGTGGTCGCTGACCCAGTAGTCGCTGATCCTGAGTGGTCGCTGATACAGCAGTCGCTGATCCTGGTCGCTGATCCGGACCCTCAGTCGCTGATCCGACAAATTAAAAAAACAACAAGCGATTGGGGAAAGCGTTTGTTCCTGCCATCCCACTTCTCAGCTTCAGGTCTCCCATGGAACGGATCAACGGTATCACACGGCTTCCGGGGGGAACCCGGGGGTGACCCTGTGTTGATGGACCTACACGGGGCCTAATCTCCACGTCCCCGCACCCGAACAAAAACACACGTTAAGACACATTATTGACCCACGTACAAGCCAGGGGCAGTCAGGATGGATTGGATTGATAGAGACATCTGAATTGCAATCCCAGGGGTGACCAACACCTCAAAACAGCTACTGTATCCTATGCAGCTATCCTATAAGACAAAACAAGCAGATTGCCCGAATGACGGACTGTCCAATTTTTTAAACCAACCGAACGATTGGACCATGAATATCGATGAATAAAGTTAAGCAACCACAAAGTAATAAGGGTACCCTAAACAAAGCTAAAACGTGTTTACAAAAGTAAGGCCAACGCTACCAATACTAAGCTGAGGTCATTTCAGGAGGAAACCATTGCTTGGACTGTTGCGTTCTATGTGACGTTTCCTTTTCTGATCACGCTAGAGGGAATAGATCAATGTGAGAGAGAGAGGGCGGGTCTGCGGATGGCGCGGCGTGAAAGGGGCGACGTTCAGGTTCCTAGCAGAATGAATGGGTACGTGGCACGATGTCCCTCGTGCGATGATTCAATCCTTCTTAATATAGAAGAAAAAAATCCAATATTGGACCGTGCGTATCAAAATAATCGGGCGATTGACCTCCGCCTCGCGCGCCAGGATTGGGAGAAAATCGTAAAACGCGAAGTCTTGCAAAGGCGCTTCTCAGTCAAGGCTTGTCAAGGGGTGACGGCTTCTGCTTTCTGCCAGGCTCAATCTAATGAAAGCGACCTTTGAGGAGCAGACTAAAAGGCCCCAGATGTTGGAAAAACGCTGCACACTTGACCCACAGACTTCAAGCAAAGCAAAGATTAAATCGCCGAACCTTTAAACAAGTTTGGGGATGCTAAAAGGCAACGTATCATTCTCAAAGCTGAACCAATCAGTGTATTATGTATATGCCATTGTGTATGTAAATTAGTCCTGACATGTCTGCTTTGCCATGCCCGCGTGCCAGTCAAAAAGCTGGTTTGCAGGCCAACTCTGATCTTGACATGTTCTCTTGACACTGGATCACAAAACAGTTTCAGAAAATATGCATTGCTGCTGCTGTTGTTGTTATTGTTACTATTAAAGGGGTGCCAACTTAATTTGTGAAGTGCTTTTGTTCGAGTTTTGTTTTTGGTTGATCAGTTCTATATACTCACTTCTACTTTGTAGGATCATGGGTGAGCGGGGGCAAGTAGCACAAATGGAGGAGCTGGCAATCGCCGTTCTCGGTTGTCACTTGCCCGGGCTGCGGGTCACTGGAGAATCATGACTGATGACATCTCATGGCTTCATGGCTTGCAAATGGAGAGGGAAAACAAGGAACACACCAGCTCCATGTTGCCACTCAGGGCAAAGGGTGCCGCAACAACCATACGCAGCTAAGCGCTGATATGATTGATGCTTTTTCTTTGCCTAGGGCAATAGAATTTCCTTCAAAGGTTATCCTAGGGCCAGCACAGCTTTGCAAGCCTGCAACAGCACAGTGCTCAGGACACTGGGCACTGCTTCCTTCCTTCATTCCTTCCTTCCTTCCCTTTTTCCCACCTGCTTTCCTTCCTTTCCTCTGACCTTGCGAAACACTTGAAAGACAAATCTTTCCCTACAAAAATGGCCCTCCCGATTGTAGTAAAGCCCTTTGTCGCATAAAACAGTCCATCTCTCGGGGGGACCCTGCTATTTATGAATCACAGGTGGACATTATATCCCCAGAAGGTAAAGTATTGGACCACTGGATGACCCAAACCCACCAAAGCTCCATTCCCTGTTCCACCTTCTGAGAGGGTACTTGGAGCCCAAAGCAAACTCGATAGAACCCATATATAATCATATAATCTTGATCAACAAATACCATGGTTTTGTCCTATTCCTCATAAAACACTGGATGCTGAAATGATGTGAACCATGATTGACTTGGCTGTGGGATAAAACCCTTGTCGTCTATTCTGTTCATGTTCGGTGGGAAAAACCAGGGTTTGCCCTTGCCAATTCAACCAAACGCCGCCACTTGATCGTTTGCCGACGGAATCCACATGCCACCTGCCATGGCCAGGCGATTCTCGCCTTGGAGGGCGTAAGGAAAGGCACCTCCGGGAAAGCAAGCGAAGCTCCACGTGAAGCTTTTGCCATTTGGCCCACTTGGCAATGTTGTTGTAACATTGCTCATGTTTAATCTTATATATACACATGTTTTATCATGTTTTCCAATCTGTTCATAGATGGCATGGATGAGAAAGTTTGGGTTCAACTACAAGGTTGGCCTTCCCGCTTCGCTCATGGTCGAAGCTTATTTCGCTAAAAGCCCACAGGGCCATTTGTCGGGTATGGCAGAAGCATGAAGACTTTTTTTCGGACTTGTGTGGGTGCTGATATGTTGATCAAATATATGATATATGTAGTATTATGTAGTAATTGGAACAGTGAGCCCCCCTCACCCAGGTTGCTTCGCCCTAGTCTGATACATACCCGAGGCAGCGTCTGATATCAGGGCTCCGCTGCTCGCCTGTACTGGTAATTACCCAGGTTTTCTTGCATGTTCTTGTGTTCTAAAGAAGAAATCCCAGTTACCTCTGACTTTGGTGGTTCGATACTGGATTTTATGTTGTCGTGCGACTAAATACACAGTGGACTCCCAATGAACAGGTATTCAAACATTTGTGTTCTCGCCCAACTTCGGAGGGGTTGCCCAAACAGAAATTAAACAGTGTGTTGATTCCCTTGTATCATCTGCAGCACATGACTAATAAACTGACTCTACTTTGTCAATTTCAAGCCGGGAATCCAAATAACCACAGCTTGCGGTATCATTCATGATATTTCTTACCCTCTTTTAGACTTCCAGTGACTTCCATGTATTCTTTGTGGCAAGAAGTCCATGAAAGGCTTGCTAACAAAGGACACCGGGGCACGACACTCAAGCGAGTCAGACCAGTTCTTCTTCTCAGTCCAACAGTCCATCTGATGGGTCCTGAGACCACCTCCTCGCCGCAGATGGTCCGGATGGTCCGTCGCTCCGTTGGTGTCTCTGTTGGCCACGTTTCATCGGGTCTGGCGGTTGCGTGCGCTGCTTGCGCTCGCCGGACCTTTTCTCCGGCGGCCCACCTCTGTCGAGTCCAACCTTCGGGCCATGTGGATCATCCCTGCTTGCCCCGTCAACGAGAAGGCAGCCTAAAGCCATTGGTTTCCCCAATGGACAGTGACACAAACATCTGCTCAATCATCTTCTTCATTCCTTGAAGCTTCCGTTTTGGGCTTGGTGGGAAGATCCAGCATCCGCCTCTCACACTTGAAGTTCAATTCCCCGGATGGCATATCTCTTAAAGAGTTCCTTGCTCACAGCCAACGTGTCACCTTAGTCTTCGAGCTATTTTAGGCGGCACTCTGCCCTTGACGGCTTTCCCCCAACACACGGCAACCCTTTGTATCCACGTACATGATGGATGTGTGCTGATTACAGAAATTGATGCAACATTATTTATACATAAATTGGTAATGTATATTTCTGCATTTCCTTACAAAACTAGAACTGCCAAACCTTGATGATAACTCTCGTTTGGCATGTGTCGCAACCTTGGTGTTGAGAGCGCAATGATCATAGAGGTTTGATACCCTGTCAGAATCATCATCCACAACTGAGGAGGGAGAGCCGGGGTGGGTTTCATCCGCAAAATTTACAGTATACTGGCGAGAAACTTCTGATACCATATCATGGCCCCCCACCATTTTTTGTTCATATATCATATATGATCATATATGATGATATGGGATAGGAACATATAGGAACCATGTCCAGTCAAATGCATTTCTTAAGGGCAACAAACCGGCCTCGTCATGCCTTGGCGTTGGAGCCAGAAACTTCCGGACATAACTGTTCGTCTTGCATATCTTTGCACAGTGGCTCTACACCCTCATCATACCCTGTCCTCGCACAGATCCACCTTCAGCATCCTCCGAGCAACCAGTGGGTTGAAGGCACATGGGATACTTCTTCGCTCCAAGGTCATGTGTCCAGTCGTAGCTTGCCGCTGCCACGCACGCCTCGAACCTCCGTCGTGCGACCGAGCGGGATGCGACCTGTCCATCGCGCCGAGTCTGGGAAATCCAGGGCAGTCCTAAAGAGGCCCACTTACCCAAACACTCCAGGAATGACATATGTATAATATATGCTATATAATAATATGCGTATATATGCCTAAATTGACCCCTGAAACCACCACAATGTATGTATGAATATGTCATGCATGGAGTGTCTGACTTAGGGACTTGGGCCAGCCTTGCAGGCTTTGGATCACTGTTCTTGTAGGAACAGTGTGAAGCATTCTGGGCACCTGCAAACCCATTTCGACATGCAACCCCGACATGTATCAGTCTTTGAGTCCAAACATGAGGCGGGCTCTGTTTTGGCTGCTTTTAGCTCATTTGCCACCAGCAAGGTGTTCTTGAATCAATGAACATGAATGATAAACCGAACTATTCTTGACCTGCACGACACCCTCTTCTTGCAGTTCTGGGGATTGATTCGGTCATTCCAGGTCATTATCCTGTGACCCTTTCATCTTCCTCAGTCACTACTGTACAGTGACAGTCATTGTCACTTGGGGCTTTTCTTCCAGTTGGGTCTATCACCTGTATCCAACGCGGCTAGGCCACTGGGTCTTGTTCAGTGCACGACCATGCGAGAAGTCGTCCAGTGCCTGGCAGATGGACATTCATCAAGGTTGGTTTAAGTAGCTATAAGTGCACACATCATAATCAATGATGGTAGTTCCACCGCGTTCCCACCAAGGTGCAAGGTATATATGAGCAGCGGACAAAATTACTTGTGCAGCCAAATACCATTTGACATGATTATCGTTTTTGGTGGGGTCCATATCGTTCTCCAATGTTTCTCCAAAGCACATTATGGGGCTTTGCTGCCGTTCCCTGACTTTGTTCAGCTCCTTGTGTATATATATATACAGTACATACTTTGACAGACTTTGAACTTGATTAATTGTCCATAGACTCTACTAAAAAAAAAAAAACGTAAGATGGCAGAACATCTGAAGGGACACGAGAAGGGAACAGTTGTCTTCCCTCTCACAGCTTACTCCGTCCTAGCGCTAGGTGCAGGATGGTATAGGAAACACAGGCGTGCAGCTTCTAGTGTACCAGCATGTTTTGAAACACACACACACACACTTATGTTATCTTATGTCAATTGATAGTACCACAACCCACGTGCATGCTACATCCGCTCCAATTGATGTAAAGGATCGCTTTCAGCAATCCAAACGTCGTGGCGAAATCAACAGACCCTTCTAAAAAAAAGCCTCATAAAGCCTCTGTGTTTCGACGTGCCAAAACAACTGAAGCTCCAACTGGGCCAAGGCCGATGGTGGCGCCTGCACGATGTAGCATTCGTAGCGCAATCGGTAGAAGCCACCCACCTGGCCATTTGGGGGGCATCGGGTGTCCGAATCTCGTCCGCCTCGGGCGAAAGCGTGCGGACCATCCACAGGGTGAAAGCCAATCCATTGGTGAAGCCCTCATGTTGTCCATCTAGGGCCATCCAGGTTTGGGGGCACCTCCCTGAAAGAAGCGTACTCTACGTATATAAGTGGGCCTCTGAAGGATACCTCAAGGAAGTTCTAGCTGTGTTTACAATATTTTGAATAATTAGAGCAAGAAGACCCTCCAAAGCTCAATATGTAAGTTTTTGGATGTGTATGTTTCTTCTCTTTCCTCTCTAAAAGGGGTGCTTTCCAAAGGGTCTCCCAAATTCTTGAGACACAACACGACACAACCAGCTTTTCCACCAAACCACATCGCCACACTTTGCCTGGGTTGTAGCTCCCCGCTTACCCAGTACATCCCAGTACAACCGTTTCCTTTGGGCAAAAGAAAAGTCGGACCTCCAACGCTGGCCATCACAAGATTCTTCTCTCTTTCCACCGCGAAGCGGTCACCACCCAAAGTCACTCACGACTAGTCTTCACCTTTCAAAGTGCTGAAGAGAAAAGTTTTGTCCCATGCTTTTTCTGGCGCCCGGCCTGACCAGCCCACTGCTTGTTGGCATAGTCACAAAGGCTGGTTAAGGTGGTGGAGCCTGGAGTTTGTGGCGTCCACACCTGTGACATGGACCGGTCGGTCGACATCCAGTCGATTCGGCGAGTCCGGGAAGTCCCCAAAAGTGTGTCACATGGCGGGTCGACCATGGCCATAAAACGAGTAGTAAGAATGCTCCTAGTAGCGATGCCAGGAGCCCCTAGTAGCGTCCTTGCGCCTAGTAGTAAGGCCAGGAGCCCCTAGTAGCGTCCTTCCTCCTAGTAAGGCCAGAGAAAGGGCTAGTCAGCTAGTCCCCAACAGCGGACTTCTGATCAGACCTGAGTCTGATCTTCACAGTCCGATTCCACCGATGCTCGGACCAACCCTGTGGGTTCGCATGGAGCTCACCAAACCACGTTCTCTTCGGACTCCAGTCAACTGAGAGCTATTGGAGACCTCACCTCCCACAGCGAACGAACAAACGGCTGTGGAACGCTCAAACAGTGAAGGAGTCACGCGTGACGCGTTGGACCTCAGCCACCAGTTGAAATCCCCTCAACTCCAGCTTCCCTGCAACCAGTCGACGTGGGCTTGGTGCGACATGGGATGGGTTTAAAAGTCGGTGCAAACTACCTGCTGCAATCCGTTGCAGACCTGGCGGCCAGCTAGAACACAGACCCCAAGGGCCCCTTGCGGCCCTCCTTCCCGCCGCAATTTCTTCTGGATCTCCAAGGCACCGTGGTCTGGCTCCTTGCAGCCATCTCGAAATACCTCTCCAGCGTGGCATTGCCATCAGCCCAGCGCACGCTGTTGGCAATCCATGTGGAGGCCAGGAAAGCACCCGAGCTACAAAGGAGTCCTCGGCAACAGGTGTCCCATGAGGGCGTGAACCAGGAACCGGCAACTCACCTGAAGGTTCTTCCACCCAAATAAATGTGGTGCAGGATGTCTATTCCAAGTCATACTACCTTTGACCATATGGATGGTCGAAGGATGTCGAAGATTGTGGCTGCCAAACTGTTTTTGGAATCTGAGGAATCTTCTCGGATGGTCTCCAAATGGGAAGACCTTGGCTGCCTTGGCTGTCCCTAATTTGAATATACCTTCACAGGACAAAACAATTGGAGCATGAGTCGAGTACAGTATTCTGGCACTCGTCTTCTCTCTCGCCCAGCACCGAGCCGCTATCCACATCCAAGAGCAAGTTCAACATCTCCGATCCAGCTGCTTTGACTGCACCCGCCGTGGTCGCAGACGCCAACTTGGAGAAGAATTCGTTGGATATCTTGCTTAGCACCTCTTTTGGCAGGTGATGTTTCTTGCAGTGTTATAGCTTGCAAGTTTAGTTGAACATTGTGAAGCCGATGGGCAAGGAATTCTGCAAACATGGGAAATCAATCAGCTCAAGTCCTTTGCGGGATGAACTTACGCCGCCCACCGCCACCCGCGTTCTTGAGAGTAAAACAGAACATCGTAGAAGTTTGAACTAGGAAGACTTCGCCCTTATGCTATACATAATGTCAAGGATGGATTGATAGTTCCGCCCAGTTGGTCTGGTCCGCCTTGGGTCTAGCCCATTTTGAACGCCTTTCTTCAACCCTTTAATTTCACCAATCCCTCTTCCCATGATCCTATATCACTTAAGAACCCTTCCCCATCTCAATTCCAACACCCCATTTTGCTGATGCTGGCTCATTGTTGGCTAATGCCTTTGGCATTGCTCATTCAGTGATTCCCTCGTTGCCCAACCAACGGTGGATTTGTGCTGACGAGAGATTTAGTCGTGCTGGGACCTTTCCTCGTGAAGAGATTCATGATTTAAGTCGTTGGGATCCTTCCTCATCAGGACCCTTCGGTTTAAGTCTTTGGGATCCTTCCTCACGCAGAGATTTAGTGATTCAGTCTTGGTGACCTCCCTGATATGGCCAATTAATAACCTGCTCCGACCTCCAGACATAGGACACCATAGGGGTATTCTTAATACATAATATGGCTTAATCCATCCTTTATGTTATAAATTATAGCTAAACAGTCAACGCTTGACCAAGCCTTTTGGCTAACTACAGGAAGGGTTTGTAGATCAGGGTCACTCTTGCCGCAGGCTTCTTCAAAGGTTATGACAAAGAGGGAAGCAATCGTGGCATCCTCTAACATGACCTACTGTAACTAAATTATATCTATAGACTTGGTACTTGTAGGATTGAGGCTCTTGATCCGTTGCCGTCGATGGTCACCCAAAAAAAGTCACCCCTCTCCCGCAACACGCTCCACTCCGGGGAAGACAGGGCCTCACGGCCGAGGTTCACCAGGTCGTAGCGCAGGGTCTCGGGGATGCGTGGCATGGCTTCGGCCGCCGCGATCAAAGCCTTCCAGGCGTCGATGGCCACCGAGAGGTCATACCAGCCTGAAAAGAGAGAAAGAAGGGGTGACTGATGCATCCGGGGTGCAAATGCGGGGGATATGGTTTCGATGAGTTTCTTGAGTCAGTCAGTGGTCAGGCAGTCTGTCTGCTTGGGTTTGGGGTTTGTGGAGTCCGGAGAAGCCAAGCCCGTTTGGATCCTCCAACGACGAGGTTCTCCGAGCTGCTGGGGTGTGGAGTCTCGTACGAGCCGCCCAGCGGCATACCAGTGAGGCCGTCGGAATTCTTCTCCGCCTGGCTGCTGGGCGCGGGCTTCCGTCGTCCGGCCATGTTCGGAGCGCAAAAGTAAATGGAAAGGACGAGCATGATGATAGCTTAAGAGAATTGGTGGAATAGAGGTTGGTCATGAAACCAAAGAGAAATAAGCAATTGATGCTGGGACGTGAGACGTGATTGCAGTCGATTCCTGTCAACTCTTTCTAGACTGGTAAAAAAAAAAGGCGTGCCGAATAGTTACAAACGCCTGCAAGTACAAATATGAAACACGATGAAGGATCAATATACAGTATAGTGTACACAATCTATATATATATATCCTTCTCAAAAAGTCTCAAAAGGGCGTTCTTCATTGAAAAGGGGGATCCTCGTCCACCAAGGACATGCAGTGGTGCTGGGAACATCTGGGAACCTCCGAACAATAATCATATATATATATATATATGTATCCCTCACTCACTCACGCTCCACAGGACAGCCGTCCACATCCACACTCAGCTAAGCCTCAGTGTACATCCTGGCAAGAGACAGGAGGGATCAGGAGGGGTTTATAATAAAACGTTGGCCATCTCTGATGGCACGAGCGGGGTCCCCTGGGGTTATGAGGTGGGGCCTTCAGCGAGCTTGACCCGCCACAAGTTGGGATGTTAAGTGACACCAAGCACAGCCAGCAACCGAAACAAGCTATCCCAGCAACCGAACCGTCGATCTTTGATCGCTCGCCTGAAAACCACCGAGGGAGTGGATGGCTCGCTGGTTGGTTTCGTTGCTATAGACAGACTGCAGTAGAAGGCCAAAGGCCTTCTGCGCCGCTGGACTACTCCTGCCATAACGCTGAAGAGTCCAGGCATCTGTCCTTGCAAAGGTGGCCCCGACTGACATTGCAGAAGTTGGGACACATGCTCTGTGAGCAAATAACACTTGATGGAACCAAACAAGTCGATTGCACATCAGCCCAGCAAGTCCAGCTCACTGTATATACTGTAATTGGAACTATCCCCAGTTCCACCACTTTCTTACAATTTGCCTTCACATACAAAGGTCCCGGGATACGCTGGGTGGAGGAGATGTGTTGAACTAGGCTTAAACATGTCACAGGGGACCGGGGAGTAATGCAAGTTTGTTGACAATTCATATTACATATAATAACCACAGTATATACTACAGTATGTATTTATTATGTATATATATACACTGTGTACTTGTAGACATATGAATACATATGCAAACTACAGGATTTCTCGTTGCGGATGTACAGACTTCCAGTCATCGGTGCGAAACACGGCCTTCATCGGATGCCACTGAAACAACAACAACAACAACAACAACAACAACAGCAGCAGCAGCAACAACAGCAACAGCAACAGCAACAGCAACAACAACAACAACGTGGCACTTGTTCCTAGTAGCTTCACAACAACGTGTCGTACGTGTCGCATGTGTCGTACATTTATCGTGCGGTCGAGCGTGCCATGACCGTGTCGGTAGACATCTACTTTGCCCAACGCAGCTTTTCTACGACTGCAGCAAGGTATTAAATGCCTATAACTGTCGGTATTGGCAACGGTATTGGTATCGGAAATTTTGTATTTCTACTTTGCCCCTACTACCAACTAATTTAAATACGGATATGTTACATGAAGCAAAGACATCACGCCCTGCCCCCAAACGGTCATCCAAAAGGCTGCTAGGTCCCTCCAAACCTTAAAACCCATGGAAGGAACATTTCACGCCGAGCCAGATCCAATTCGAGGCCGAAGCCAGCTCTAAAGAAATGCAAAAAAGCCCGTCAAATGAACAGGGGCCCGTTTTCAACACTGGAAGCAATGGAACAATGGAGCAAACGCTGGAGACCAAAAAAACTCAAAGTGCATTCTGTGGCCTTTGTGAATGGACAATATCTTGTTTGTTTCCGAAGGATATAACCTAGGGACCTAGTCAGCCCACGGTGATGCAGGTTTTGTGGGTTTTGGATGGCCATGTGATCTCAGCATTGCTTGTCGGATGTCGTACCTCTGATCTCCAGATCCAGCGACCGCAGAGACGTCGTATGAGGGTTGATGTGTTGTTCTTGTGGCGACCCTTCAACGTTCTGATCCGGGGTCGAACAGAGCACGGCGTCAGACTTGATCTTTGATGATAGAAGAGTGGGCGAGAACATGATCAAGTCAGACTTGATCTTGATTGTTGGATTTAGTTAGAACATGATAGAACAGTGGGCGAGATTCCGCCCGGGCCTTCCCAGAAGGGCGACGGAGTTCTAACGCCAAGTCTCCAGGAGCTCAAGTTCACTGGTGCTTGCAGCCAGGACAAATCGGTCAGGAAACTGTAATAGAAGGGATTCCTCAACAACTCGCGCTCCAAGCCATACCCCCGTGCTTGCTGCTTGGTGAAAGCATCACGAAAGGTTTGAGGGAAATAACTGTTTTGAGCCCAACCTCCCCAAAGGGAACTGGGTGGCACCGGACATTTCTGGGAGTCAATGGCAGTGGCGTCCTGGTCTCGTCTTGATGTCGAAAATGGGGGTGCTTCTTCTTCTCCAGCACCCCCCAATAGTCATGAGTCATGATAGAGGAGCGATCGATGCGACATTCCCCTTTACTTACAGTGGTTTCAGAGTAGATGGCACTGGCACCCCAAGATGTCTTAGACAGATGGGGATCCATCTAAACCACCGACCTTGGGGCAACTTGTGCCATCTACAATAAAGCCAATGTAACTGATTCCAGGCGGACCGGAGATCCTGGGTCCAACACCTTCGGACGGTCGAATGAAACGTTTCGGTGTCAAGCATGTCGGAGGGTATTCTTGTATGTCATTGAACATATTGAAAACGAGCATTGGTGACCTGACAACATGAAAACAATGGTTTTACTGATTAACTTGGTGCAGGGCTGACCAGTTATTTGCTGTTGCCGGGTACGGCGAAGGACCCCCCAAAACCCAAAGCCTTGAAGAACCAATACATGCATTGCATGTAACATGGAACAACACATCATGCTAAGTAGTATATATATATAATTAATATATATATATATAGTGAAGCACATTCCAGTGCCACACTAAGAAGGAACAAATTTGTACCTTCAACCTGCTGTCCAGGTTCTGATCAATACCTTCAGGCGCAGCTCCTGTACCCGCCACATTGGCTGTTCGATTAAAGGCCGCAAAGGGAGCAGAGTTCAAGGTAGGCAGGCTGCCCCACATGCCGGTGTTGCCGCCAAAATTGTGCAGAACAGACCAAATGAACCTTGTTTTCCATTGTAAAAAAACAAACGCAAAAGAACCTTAGATGCGACGTGTCTTTCCTTTCCTGCTCAAAAAACGGGTGCAAGCAGACTCACCCATTCAGCCCCCCCAAAGCGTTGCTGAGTGCCGAATCCAGGAACGGGGTGCCAAAATAGCCAAAATCCTCGAACTTGTCCCATTCCGGGTCGGCTTCATCAAACATATCCAGCATCACGAAGTGCTTCGGAGGCACTGCAGACACAAAACCCTTCATGAAGGGAAGCTTGTCTGCCCCCCAACCACGCCAGATCCACCCTTGACACAGCCATACTGCTTTGGGATCAGTGGCCTGGAGATGTTGTCAGCGCAAAAAAAGTAAACGCATCTTAGATCACCTAGATTACGCCCTGGAAGATTAACATGGAACCTGAGAACCACTGGGTTGTAGAGGAAAATCATCTTCCAAAGGTCCATGTTCAGGTTCCATGTTGATCTTCCCGGGTGTAACAAGAGTCTTTCCATTGTTGTTACCTGTTATACTTTGCGAACGGATGGAAAGCGTGCCCTGGCCCCGTTCAAGCCCTTAGTTCGACATGAAGCTCGCGCGCAAAAGCTCCTTTTCGCCTGGTTGGGCACTTGAGCCAAAATGTTTATGGCAAGTGTCAATGTAGCCATTATACTGGGACCTCATCTCTATTCACATACTTGTATATACATATACTATATACATATTGGACCTGGAATACAATTAAGGATTTGCTTTGAAGTCATATACTGTATACTGTCTTATTATACTGTAAAACCAAAAATAATGAACATTCCGCGTTCGCATGACAAGTGGCGTTCATGGATTTATAAGCCGCGGCCGCATGCGCGAAGGCGTGTGGATCGACAGGCACATCCTCTGGACTCCTCCAGGCTGAAGCTTCAGTGGTCAAAGCTTGGGCCTTCCAGGGGCCCTGCTGCTGATCGAAATATCCATCGGTTTCATACCAGTGATCCTCGGCTGGAGGGGTAGGGTTGAATTTTGTGGTTTGCTTTGGTTTAGCCATCTCACCAACAATTGGATTAGTCAATTTTTGTTTATGTCATGCGGTTGATATCAAATGGCCAAACAAACCTCAGATCCCTTGCACACGGCTTTGGACCTTGCTTTGCATTTGCCTTCGCCGGAAACCCGTCGCCCAAACCTTTGGATGGCCCACCGGTGGTCGGCAGGTGGGTCGACCAGTGAAACCATGGCAGGTGGCTGGTGCAGTCTGTTTCCAAACAAGCAACCGGTTTGATGGTGCTATCTTTCTCGCCTTGGATCTCAGTCATAGTAACTAACCAAAGCCTTCGAGTCTCAAAATCAACGCAGCCTGAAACTTCCTACTCGGGAACATGCAGCGGAAACAAGTTCCTTATACAGATTTATGAACCCAAGGATCACGGATCACACAGTGGATCCAAGTTAATATCGCAGCCTCTTGCAGTGGATCTTTGGGTCCCCCCCGGTGCACTTTTGGGAAGTTCCGGTGGGCACTCAACTTACAACATGGGCACCAACCAAAAGCCTAGTGGATAAAACCGGTGGATAGGGGAAGCGTGAATCTGGACATAAATAGATATATATGTAGTATAAAACTGCAAATATATAATAAATAATCATATACTATAGAGATACAGTATATTGTACATATACATATTATAAAGAAAAACATATATATATATATCATGATATATTACTCCAACCATCTCCAACCGCTTCAACTTCCCGAGTACCAACCTCAGTTGCAAAAGCCATCATTTTGAGACACGGTCTGCTCATGGGTTTCCATCCTGTTGTTTTGGACTAGCAAGACTATGCAAGACTCCAACTAGCAAGGATGCGCCAATGGCAAGACTTCATGGTTTGGTTCTGGGAAGTTCAGGTGAGTGGAACCTAGTTCTCGCTCAAGTGAGTGGAACCACGGCTAGGATGCACCATGAACTTCTCTAAGGATCTGTGCCCCAATCACCAATCATGGTCTCCATGTATCTCTTCCTTAGTTGAATCCAGCTGCAAATTGAGACTTGTCGAATTGGAGGCGCTCAAGACATGGATGCCCTCAATTCGTCGGTGAGTCCCAAGGAGATTCAACACATGACCTTCAAAATGTTTGGGGGCCTGTAGAGCCAACAGGCCAGAAGATACGGCTCGACACCGATCCACGGTGCAAAACCTTCACCTTCGAAGCCGTCTCTACAAGTCTCTACCCTCAACCATCTTGCACCACCTTTACCCTGTTTTACCTCCAGAGCCCTCTTCTTCTGAACCTGGGGTTGAATATGGTTGAATCAAATGTTTCTCCATCAGTCGTGCCGCTGACACTTTCTATTATAGCATCACGGCATTCTTGCTTGCTGCCCCTGGGTTTGGATTCTTTTGGCAAAGTTCAGCAGATCCTGCAATTTGCTGGGCTTGATTTCACCCAAATTCCAGGATCCTTTTTCAAAGCCCTCCCTTCCTCCATCAGCTGGGTGCCCAGAAGGGGAGCTGCCACGGATCAGCTGGGCTGGATCAGCTGGAGCTGTGGGTCACATGAAAAAAGGAAAACAAAATGAATGGATCAATGTAATGCGATCTGCTGGTCTTTGCAGTCTTTGCAGGTTTGTTTGTGTTGTTTTTGTGTCAAGTTGATTCTATAGGTCGACGCCTTCAACTTCATGATCATCTAAGGTCACATCAGAACCTCGTAGGAACCGGTCTTTTGTTCTCCCGAAGGTCTCCCTGTCACCCTCCTTCTGAGTCTCTGGATTTCAGCAAACAGCGGATCCAAGGCATCCAACCAAGCGGGTCCCGTCTTGCTGATGTTCGCCCGTGGCTGCAGTTGCCGGAAGACCGGTGGCAGGTTCCTCGGAGCTCGGTGCAGTTGCCGGAAGACCAAAGGCGATCGCATGCGAAGGCGGTACCAAGAAGTACATTTTCAGCAAAAGAACCTGACATCTTGGGATGTTTTTGTGTGTCAAGTGGCTTTCTTTCAACCACATGATTTCGTAAGCGAAAAGGAACTTGCTACTCTATGTACAACTTGCACATTGCACAGCTCCAAAAAAATACATTCTGGAGATTCTGGAGAGGGTATATACTGATCTCAAACTCACTCGATCCTATGATTTACGTATATATATATAGCTATATATACGTAGATAATACCTGATGCCAAAATATCCTAAGTCACTCTTACGTCTGTGTCCACCCTAGACAGCAGATGGTTGAACACTAGTCGTCACTCCACAATGAAAGTGGAATGCATCACCCAAGGGCCGCCTGTGTTCCTTCTTGCTTGGATCGACGGTCCTTTTTTCGGGTGTTGACACCACGACCGGACGCATCGGCCACGACCCGACTGGACGATGCGTCCAGGCGCCCTTGGAAGGTCGGCAGCACACTGACCATGCCCAAACTCCTGCCATCGGGGTGATTTTTGTTGGGGGTTCATGCCAGGTCGAAGATCATGGGGATATCTGAGGAACATTGGAATAGACCCTCTGTGGGAAATTTAAAAGAAGAAAAGACGAACACTCTTGAGCAACTCAACACCGCGACACTGCTATGTCTATATATGTCTATATCACTACAGTAGTTGGAAAAATTTATCTGTCTGCTGTCCCTTCTCTCCATATCTCTCCATCACTAGATTTGTTGCCCCTATACCGATTAGTTGGAAAGACAGGACCCGGATCCTCAAAGAGACCGCTTTGCTAGTATCCTGGTATTACCTCTCCCCAGAAGGCTGCAAGGTCTGGTTGAGGAACCAAGCCCAATCTTCCCCAACCTGTCCTGCTGCGCTCCAAGATCTGCGTCTGAAGCTGCCATTGGCTCCTCACAACTCATCGGCCCGCACGTCACTGCACCGACGACGTTTTCGGACGACGTGTTCGGACACTGGACGTTTTTCGCCGGCTTAGTCGGGTCGGCGTCGAAGGCGTGGTCTTCGGAGTCCAGGAAAGTTGTTTGGTCAGTGGAAGGATGGCAGAAAGCCACCATGGAGACATGAGGCACGTGACGTTTCATCATGGAGATCATGGGTCGCCGGATGTTTTTGAGTGGAACATCCGTCACCAAGCTTCGACTTGAGGGCCCAGCCATGGACAGTTACTGTATAAACACCTACCCAGCCTTGGATCTTTGTAGTCTGTGATGTTCCAACCAAGAAAATTCGTGGGATACCTTGTGGTGGTCATTCCACTGGATGGTGAACACAGCGCCAACCACCTGTCCCTGTCTACTTAACCCACAAAAGAAGCGACAAATGGCAATCTTCATCATTACAGCTGCAAAGGGTCAGCAGGCAAATCATCAACACAATGACATCAACCTTTTTGGACCCCTGTGGTCAATTTTTTCGCACCAAACGAATTTCCTGACTGATGTTGTAAAACTACCGAGCCCTAGAGTACTATATTTATAGTATTTTTGAATACGTTGTGTTTTTCAAGCATGTCCACTGAGATGACGAGGTTCCTCATCCACGACAAGGGCAGTGGCATGCAGGCATCCTTGGATACGAACTTTAAAACATTAAACAAAATCCAGCCTCTTTGATTGCCCCCACAGGAAAACTCCAAAACAAAAGGAACAACAATTTATTCTGGGATCTGCTGTGCATAACAGGACGACAGTAAACACCTCCTTAGTGTTCTTCCAGGCATCTCCACAGTCGTTCCCAATGCCATGCATAGATTGCCCTCGGCTCCAAGCAAGCCACGCCACACCGTTGCTCCAGGCAGCAAATTGGTCATCCGTGACGCCGAAGCTGTTAAAGGTCTTCCGGTATATCTCCTCCACGAAATGGAGGCTGTCTCTCCCCGAAACAAGAGGCAACATCATCCGCAATATTTTAGAATGTTGCGGGGAATTGCTTTGCACTGGAACAAAGATGGCCAGGAAGGCCCGGAAGCGGGTGTTGAAGTAGTTGGGAGACCCTGACAGGAGCTCGTGCCTTCTTTCGGTCCATTTTTGGTCCCTTCCTTCTTCATCGTCGTGGAGATTGCCAAACACGGCCATGGATTGTCTATTATTCTTGGTGCGTGTCTGAGTGCTTCACAAAAGTTAGGAAAGCCTTTACGGGACAGAAGGCAATCTGATCCTTATACATGCCCAAAAGTAGCTTTGTGTCCAAAGCTATCTCCGCTGAGGTAGGGATTCCTATCTGTTGGTGGGCCCGCTGGCCGCTGCACGGTGGCAAGCTCAGACCGGAGCGCATCCTCTCTTTGCCTGGCAAGGGCCATCTGATCGAGATAGGACTGTCTCTCAAGCGCCTGTCTCGCATTGTGAACGTTGCTCATGTCGTTCAATCCCTGTTGGGTGATCGCTGCTTGGTGTTCTGAGGACTCCGCAACAAAAGTTTTCGCTTCATTGGCTACAGTGTCTCGAAACTGCATGGCTTCGCTTGCGAATTGTCGACCCTGTTCTGCCATCAAGGCCCAACGCTTCAACTCAGCAATCTCCATTACTTCTGCAGACTTGTCTTGGTTGACAAACAGTGCTTGCTGATGAATCTGTCTTGCATCAACATTCTGAACTGCAATGTTTGGTGCTGGATCATAGCTAAAAGGTGAAGGACCAAAGAGCTCCATGTTCCCCTGTGCGGGCGAAAAGGGAGGCAACGGCGGCCTACGCAATTCCAGCGGCAACACAGGAATCTCTTCACTATGCGACTCCGACATTGCAGGGGAAGTCGGAATGTAGCCCGAACGCGATCGCTCGTCAAGCGAACCAGCGTCACCATCCGCTATAGCTACTAGGTCGTGCACAACCTACAGTGGACGTAGCTAGGCTAACTAAAGCATGATAACCTGTCGTTACAGGTAAACGGCCGACTAGTACCACTAAGTTGCACCTGTTTTGCCTTGAGCCAAAACGAGTAGGTATAAGCGAATGAATAGAGTCTAGTGTGAAACACTATATTATATATATATATGGATTAACGAGTCTTGGCTGATTCATGATCTTGGAGGTATCATTCTACCCATCTCGCTTTCCCCAGAAGAACGTCTAGCACTGCTAGACTCCAAAGGTCCAAAGACCAATAATCCATATTATCGTACCTGCTGCGTTTTAATCGTTAAATAGATATATATATATAACATAATATATGTAATCATGAATATCCTTCATCACCTGCGCATTGGAAGCCAACAAGTGCACTCTCCCTCTCTCTCTTTCTTTTGTCGTGCAAACAAAAAGGCCATGTAAGTGGGCCTTCCCACCAGAACATGTTGGAAGCCCACGTAGGCATAACCGATGGGTGGCTCAAGCCAAATGAACAACAAGCGAGACACCCTCACTGATTCCCCATGGTGACACACAAAACGAAAGCAACACTCAAACTGTATATGTTCCACGCATATGTTGGGCCAAACCTAGGAAACCACAAGCTTTCTGTTTTCGCATCTAGATCGGCAGGTCTTATCCTCACGTCACCTCACAGCTTCACCGAACATTCCCCTCCCCCTTGGGGAGATCAACCGCCAGACCCATGTCTGGCATGTGGAGAAAGCACAAGAGGTCAGACCCGTCTCCTCCTGCCCGGTATAGGCCAACACCACGTTGATGCCATTCAAGGCAGCCCAGTCCAACCAAGCCTCCCATTGCTCAAAGTCATACCTGAAGAAACAAACGAAGAGAGACGACATTGGCAGGAAGAGCTCACAGAGTTTGCGAGAAACGACATGAATATACACAAATCAGCTCAACATCTACATAAACTGAGGATTAACTTCAGCGTCATGGGCTGAACTTACAACCCTTTTCGTTGGTGAATATATCCACATTGTCTGGAGGTGTGTGTGTGTGTGTGTGTTCACACGGTGTGGGGACCTCCATGGTTTCAAAATACACCATGCTCGCACCCATATTGATATACTAGTATGTTCTATTCTGTCATTCTTGCTGGTACGAGTACTCGTATATGGCTGTTTTCCGAGGCCCTTGGCCCTGGGTATGCCCACCACGTATCCAAGTTCCTGAACGCACTCGCCTTCTTGAGCTAGGATTTGCCGTGTGACCAAGACAAAGCCTAATTCTATCTATTTCTTCAAGAGTCTTCCGTGCAGGTCAGGTCCTTCAACTTGCCAGAATCTCAGAACAGTGACAACATCAACTTCATCCATCGTCTTGGGCCGAGGATACCAGGCGTAGCTGTAGCTGAAGGTCACCACATTGTTGAAGTAGCTGATAGGCACAGTCCGGTAGCGTGTGATTGGCTCTGTCACCGAGGGCCACTGGGAAGGAACCATCACCTGAGTGTGCTTCGTGTCCTTTTCTGTGCGGGATTCCCCAAAGTCAGTGGCAAAGAAGTCTTTGAACTTTGAACCTAGGGGAATCCGTGATCCAGGTTCAGGATACATATTATGATTTTATATATTGTGTATTTTATGGAGTGACTATGGGTCAGTTATCATCAACACAGTCAGAATCTGCCAATCAGCTGTTCCTTTCTCTAAGGAGTGGAGAAAGAAATGGCGAGGAATGACCATTGGTTTAGGATTGGCTTTACTTTACAAAGTCCCGTTGATAAAAAGAAGTCTTGATTGAAAGCTCAAAACCAAACCATGAGATACACATTCTAACATACAAGTACTAGTACTATCTGTCTTTCTTTCGGGGCGGCTAACGACTCCTGTCTGTAACTAGTACTATCTATTATATAGAGGCTTTAAAGGCTTTCACAATAATATCCCTTCATATCCCAGCTTCCACTGACAACCACCCTTGAGCCCTACCTCAAAGATTTCAGTGAGACCCGGACCACTGTTGGGGGAGAGAACACCTATCCTCATAATGGGCCCAATCCGATGCTTTTTCTTGCTTTTGTCCACTGCATCCTATGGTTGAATCCCTCAGTTTGGATGGAACATAAAGGTTAACCGTTTAAGTTGAGAAACCAATCCCCAAACTGACTTAAAGTAGGATGTTACCAGGATGTTCAAATTCCCTGCATTGATTTCAGGTCAGTCGCCAAGTCATGGAACATGCGAAGCAGCTTCGACCCTCACCACGACTCGTCCACATCCCAATTCTAAATATGTATTATGTAAAATATGTAAAATGGGAGGGCATAGTCAAAAGATTAAAACACAAATTAAAGTGTTCACCACACATTATTCCCACACCCTAACATCATGAGTCCTATGAATCAACGTCCTGCGTTCGCGACCCCACGTCCCCTCGGCTCTCATCCTGCGCGCCTGGTGCCCACCGGTGCGGTTCCAGGAGAAGGACATGTTGCAGTAGCTCCGCAAATACCAGGCCGCACCGTAGGCCAAGTCGATGCCGCTCGTTGCGGAGACCTCGCAAAGTCGCTCAAAGAAGGACAGGAAAACGATTCCAACTCTATAAAGAAAGGTCAGGGAACCAAAGGATCAAAGTTAAGGGATGCTAAGGGGGTCCATTTTCGGGACATTTCGGGACCCATTTTCAGGATCCAATTCGACTCACCTAAGCGGTTCAAATGTGGTTTGTCTTCCCGCCTTGACCTTTCCGCCTGCCGACTCCAGGTCGAAGCAAAGCTCCGTTTTGGCTGTGGGCGGCTTGGCCCTACGGCAGCGGGGTGCCAGCTGCAGGTCGAAGGAGGACCAAATCTCAGCCTAGTGTGTGCTGGTCACGATGAAATCATGAAGAACAAAACCTGGAAAACCATGGAAAAACCATGAACAAACCACCTGTTCGACAGATCGAGTCTCTTCATCCACCGGATTTTGCTCTACACGTCCCCGTTTCGGCCCGACGCGTCCCCGTTGTCGCCGCCTCCGACTGCTGCAGCACGCGTGCCAGCAGCCCGGCCACGGCGTCCGCGCTGCCGCGGCCGGCGAAGTCATAGGCCACCAGGGAATCGGCGACCGCAGTGGAAGCGGTTCCGATGAAGAGCAGTGCCAAGAAAGCCATCGGGAGCTGAGGGATCTTGGAAAGAGTGAAGGAGATTCCAAGGCACATGGCACATGGTATGATCTTTCAATAGACAAGTGGTATTGGATGGTTGTAGCAGTCCAAACCCGTATCAGCATGTATCAGCATGTTTCTCGGAAGATTGATGAACATGTTTGTTTTTTTGCTTGCGGTACGTGCTGCATCTGATTCTTGGACCAAGACCCGGAATCCCACACTGAGGAGGTCGGAGGTGGCAAAAATGAGCAAACTGAGGGAATTGAAAGAAATCAAGTCTCCAATAGGCTCCAATAGACCGGTGTTCAATATGCACGATGTGTTGAGGGGGTTCACTTTTTTGCTTCGTGAAACACTTGTAATCACTTGTACATTGAATGAGGAAAAACTAACCCTCATGAGCATATATGAGCATGATGGGGGCACAAACCCCACGCAATGTCTCTGGGTCACCATGCGACCCGATCAAAACCCGATCAAACACGACCAACCAAGACGAAAACCGGGGTCTGTGAGGGATTTGGTGTGTCTTTTTTTGCCAACTTCTGGGTGCTGAAAGATGAAAAACATACACTCCTGAAAACCAGACCCTGACGTCCTGGTCCCGAAGACGATGTTCCTCTACCAACGGTTTTTAGGTTCCATGTTAGTCTTCCAGGGTGTAATGAAAAATATCGAAAGCAGGATCTTCCAACACAAGTGGCTTTTGGGCATCCCAAAAGACCGCTGATTTATAGACACCCCATCCTTCACCTCCATGTGACCCCACTGGGAGACTCGGACGATCAGGCGCCGCAAAAACAGCGCAGGGTCAGCAACCAGGATTCTCCGTCGTTGCGCGTGGCGCGCGGCGTGGGACTTTGGAGTGGTGCCGTGGCGGCCGTGGCTGCCTGTTCCTGCTATACCACGCGGTGAACCCCGCGTTTCTTTGCTTCAAGGGAAATCATTGGTTCAGGGATGTTCAGGGTGTCAAAGCTGTGACCATCAACTCCGGGGAAAAGACTTGTTGCGCAACAAACAAAACGTGACCATTGAAGCAGCCCTTTTGGGGCATCTCCGTCTGACACCACCCCTCCCCAACGCTCGCCTCGCCACGCCGACCGTCTCGTTTTCCCCCACACGCTTTACCGTCTTGGGGCGCTTGGACCACAGGGCGCGGGCGCGGGCGCGGGCAGTATTGCTGCACGTACCCAACCAAACTATACCAGCTATAAATATTCCCAGATCCCCAAACAAAGGGAACTTGGTCGACTTGGAACTAAGCAGGCACAAACGCACATTCCCGTCACAGACCAGGACGATTCCTTTTTGGGTCCCTTAGGACCAGGACGTTTCGCTGCAGCGCTCCGCTGCAAGGACCATCCAATTCACTGGAGGTGGACAGCCCCCGAGGTTTGTAGAGGAAACCACATCCTTTTCCAGGGACCCCCAAAGGGGTGTCTATTTTTTATATAGCCTCTTAGAGGTGATTGGGGGTGTCCATTTGTCACATGTACCACCAAACTCCCGCGGGTCCTACACCCATGGCATCGTGCAGTTTCTTTGCCCTCTTTCTACGTCCAAGAATCACGCCCTGGCGCGCAGGGGTGCGCATGCGTGCGCACAAACGCTGATCCGAGATCCTGAAAAAAAGAACAGAGCACGGAGATGTGCAGAAGCTGGACCCAACATCTATCATAGAAGCGGCGAACGAATGTCAGCGGTGAACCCGACCTTGAGGTCGACTATGAAAGAGAACTCGGTCGAGAAGGGAGGCACGAGAACGTCGGGCGTTCGGGAACCTTCGACCTTCCGAAACCCATGCATCATAATGCATCCATGTGTCGAACCATGTGTCGAACTTGGGTGTTTTTCACCGGAAAACTGGGATGATGGTTCGGTTGCAGGCCTTTCCATCTCCAAAATACTCACGGGCCCAACGGGTGCCCGGTCTGGAGACCTGTTTACGTAGGGTAGGGTAGTCTATTGGATACCCAAACAGGATGATCCTGGTATAATGATAGTTCCTTAGTATATAATACCCGTCGACACTAGGGTAGTCTATTGGGTATATAATACCTGGAACTTCCTCAGAGTGCTTTTTTCGATCTGCGGCGTGAAAAACATCTCTTGGCTGGAGTCACAGCCTTATATTTGAGTCTGCGGATGTTTCTCTAGTTTTCTCATTTTTTTTATGATTTTCCACGGGCGTTAATACACAAGCTAAGGGCGCGGATGTTTATGTAGTTCACAGACCTAAATAAAGGTATGTTGAACCACCTAAAAAAAGCAACCACGAGGTTGCAGGTATATATACCTAGAACCTGATGAACCCCTGGTTTTGGAGCCAAAATATGGTCTTTTCCTGTCTTTTGTTCCTTTTTGTCTCGGTCTTCACCGGTCTTTCGGGTGCATCGCCCACACCTGCAGCACCGTCCACCCCGTCGATCTTTTTTGGGCTCGCTGGGCGGGCCAGTTTGCGCGAACAGGGCATGAGCAAACTGACTGACGTGCAATGCAAAATGTGTGTAACAGTTTGGATTCAGGAACCTTGAACAGCTACTAGTATATAGATTTGATTGGATTTGGCATGCCGGTATTCTACATCAAACCTGTTCATGCGATTGACACCTGCAAAGATCTGCAAAGTAGCACATGACAATGCCAAGCCGCTCAGTCTTGCCTAAGGAAAGAGTTGACCCATCCGCTCGGAGCCGAGCTCCGTCTGCGGAGCTTGGCGGGTTGCGTAGGTCTTCTAAACTTGGACGGCTTGGAGCGCCACTCCATGCATTTCTCATCACTCATCACCATCCCCCAAAAAAATGGACAAAGAAAGCTATATTATAGACTAGATGGACAAATGGAGACCTCCAATTCATGTGATGAGGTCAGGAGAAAGAAAGGCGAGTTCCAAGGATCTGCGGTTCCCACCGTTCGGTGAAAAGGCTTCACTCACCGTTTGCCCGTGTCCCGTGATCCGCTAAGCAGCTCAATTTCATGCAACGGGCAGCAGGCGAAAACAGAGGCGAAAACGGGTGCGAAAACGACGGACTTCGTTTCGATTTTCAGGGTCCGACGGAGACCTGTCCGTAGAGTCGGGTGCGAACGAGGACAAGAAAGGGCTGTTCTGTGGGAACTTCTTTCGAAGAGATCAGAACGAATTCCATTGGAAACAACGTCGAGCCTCTCGGGGCCCCCTGCCTTCGGCATTACCAGGTCATGCGAGCTGCCAGGAAATACGCATGCTGCATGAATTATGCGAACGTGAAAATGATCACTTTCGCGTCGCCCTCTGCGTGACAAGTTCGCCAAATCAGACGCCACCAGAACGTGTGTTTTAAAGTCAATTCAGAACGTCATGGTGTGTTTGAACTCCAACCTCGAAATCCAATTCCCGTTGCAGGGATCTTTGCTTGGAACCTATGATACGATGTACCGCTGAGTGGTTGATTCCCCACTGTTGCGGCCACCAAAAAAAAACAAGGGGAAGGGCACTGTTGCGGTGCTCAGAAGCGTTTGTTCCAACTACCTGGCAAAGCAAATGCAGATCTGAAGATTTTGTTCTTCTTATATAATGTAGAATCTTGTTGTTTTTAATCAAACCTCCCATATGAAGAGGTTGTTACAATCCAAATGGGGAGGGTTGTATTATTCAAGATGCTACATGAATCTTTACTGCCAGAAACACCAGAAATGGCATGAAAGTTCCACTGGAATCACCAAGCCGGTCCCGATGGATCCCATCGTTGCCTCCTTCGGACAAAATGGCTTGATCCATCAGCACCTTATGCGTATCGCTAGGGTGTCGCATCAGCACCTTATGCAACCGTGGTTTTGGCGCTATGAATCACCGTGTGCTCCTTCAAGAAATCTCTTCAAAAACAAACACACAAAATTTACTGTATTATATTATGTTATATCGATACTGTTTTGTGAAAAACAATGAAAAACATGTATTAGAAAGAGTGGTGACTTCTTTCACATACAAACAACATCATACAACGCAATGCCTCAGCAGAATTCTGCTCTTCTCGCCGGCGCATCCATTCGCACCCGCGACCTCTCAACACAACACCAGCCTTGTAGAAACAAACGGCGGCCCCGGATGCCCTGGATGCCCCGCGTAGGCATTCCTAAGCGACATTCAGTGGCTTGGACACCTTTAAAAAAAGAACGAATGCAAAACAAGGACTGTCGGGTCTGATGAAATGAGTGGGAGCCACCGGTCGCCGCTGGTCGCCGGACCCCAATGAAGCCTTTGTACATGGGATTTGCTATGGGAGCCCCATAGAAGGCCGGCAAAGAACATCGGAAACACTGGTTTCCAAAGTACTACTAAGATCTACTAAGCACAAAAGTGTGCGGAAATGTCTTTCAAGTTTCTCCTTGAACAATTCGGCGCGTGCCGGGCCGAATCAAAAACCGTAATGTTCTATAGAAATTAATAAAATATTAGCAATCTCCCACTCACTCTGGCCCTCTCAGTTTCCCGGAAAAGTAGAGGTTAACGCGACGGTTCACCTTTTTCCATCTGCTGGATTTTAGTGGGAAATCATGGGGAAAGAAGCACTCCCACAAATGTATCCAAGATATCCACTTTTCCGCTTGTAGAGCAAAATCGATCCTCTTTCATGTTCGTCGATGAAATTCCTGGATGCTCTGGGGGCAAAGTCCGGTAGGTTGAACAACTTGTTTACGTGTAAAACATGTACTTAATCCAGCTAAGTCCATATGTAAAAGCCTGTCACATCCTGTCAATCATTTACGTGTCAAAACGTTGTTCAAGTGCTTTTCCAGCTAAGTCATGGCTTTGAAGTGGCAACTTTCCCTACCCAAACCATGCCTTTTGGAGACCACTATTTTTGGGCGAAGTATTCAAGGCAAACAAAAGGCAGTATTGACATGTGACAGCATATTATTTGAATCTATTTGACAACGAACTTCTGACATTTGCAGTTTACCGGGTGGTTGTTGAACATTTGTGGTGGGTCGACCACATCCTTACCCCCAGGCTGGGTCTTAAA